TAGAGAATGCGCCGAAGGTTGCAGCTGTACTGCTAGACAAAACTGAACCGCGATTGTCAAGGGTGGACAACTTACTGTGGTACGTCTTGTTTTGTAACCGACTACGCTCGCTGATGAACTGTAGGCAAGAGCTTGATTGCGAGCAGAGTGCACTCGTCGAGAACCAAGATCGTGGGCTCGGATTGAAGGGCGAGTGGTCCGGGGTACCCAGCTGGTACGGTGGGAAAATCCAGCAGACGTGCCACCTGCAGCGCGTGTCCGAGGCGACATTCAAGCTCACACTGGGGAAGATGGAGATGAGGCGCTCGCATCGCTTTGCGCGTTTTCTTGGTTCGCGACGGCTGCTGCAAATAAAGCTTCCTGAGTCTTTCAGCGACCGAACGGCAGAAAAGGAGTTCTTAAACCAGAAGTTTGTCCTGTGCGGGAGGGTATTCCAGGTTTTCGCCGCCAAGGAAGAGAAAGCGTATGCCATGGAAGTGGGCGAGGACTACGACAGGCTACCGTGCAAGAGCGAAGGTGACTTCTACCGGCTTTCATTGGAGGAGTTCGTTGCCCGCCACAGCCCACTGCACCTGAATGCCGCCCAGGTATGGCTCTTGGTAATTACTTTGCACCCCTTTTACTGAAGAGAGCTGTACACAGCCTGTCTCGAAGTTCAATGCACGCTTTGACCTCGGTCTGTCGACATCGAGGCCAGTGCTGCACTTCTTCCTTCCTGAACTAATAGAGATCATTGATGACCAGTGTACGGGAAATCACTCGTGCATGCAGCATTGATTGACTGACACTTACTGTAGACGCACCCTTGGATGATCCTGCCAGGAAGGTGCCGCCCGAGAAGATCTACACGGACGGCTGCGGGTTCATGAACGGGGCGGCACTTAAGGTGATCAAAGACACACTCGGATTGGATGCGCTGCCATGCGCAGTCCAAGGGCGAGTCTTCGGGTCGAAAGGCGTGTGGGTATTGCACCCAGAGCACGCGGACGTGTACGGGGATGAGCTGCCGCGAATTTGGATACGCAGGTCACAGCAGAAGGTACAACTCGCGATGGACATGGATCCAGGCGAACTGGAGGCACTACACCCGGTACATTTCATCTTCGACCTCGTCGCAGTGCCACGGGTGTCGACGAGTCCGCATCTGAACAGACATACGATCGCGAACCTACATCACAACGGCGTACCCGTGTCGGCATTCGCGGAGCTCATGCGGACGGATGTCGACAAGATGATCGTGCCGCTGATGCAAATCAAGGGCCCATTCGCCATGCCGCTCCTCTGGAGAAATGTCGACAATAACGAGGGTGTAACCCGACAGCGCATTTTGCAGCTTGCATTGGGTGCGCAGCGCGTGCTCGGTTTAGCGTCTCGTAACGAGGTGCCCGAGGACGACGAAGATGTTGAGGACGATACGGACGAGGTGACATCGTCCGATGCTGTCAATCCCTTGGTTCTGTCCGGGTCCAGATACCTCCCAGGTGGCAAGCCTATATCTGTGGCAGAACGCTTCATGCGACTGATCGGTGCAGGCTTTACACCCGAAGAAGAATATACGCACGATGAGTACCAGAAGGTTCGGGACCGTGTGCTGAAGGCGTTTTTCGACAATCTGCGGCTCCCACTGCGCGCTTCTGCTGAGGCATTTATTGTTCCCGGTATGTTCCCTTAGTTGAATAACAGATATCGACTTTTCGTGCCTCTCAGATCCTACCGGCAAGCTGCGAGAAAACGAGATCTATTTTCGCTCGTCGACCTTAGCCTTTGAGGACTCGCCCAACATATATGATTGTCATCTGATGCTAGGTGACTGCTTAGTGAGCATTCGAATCTACACTCTGAATCAGTCTAGTCCGAATTCTCGTTGATGCGGTTTTGCAGCTGTACCGTAATCCTGCACGGCTAGCGTCGGATGTGCGAAAAGTGAGGGCGGTGGACGTACCTGAGTTAGTGCTGTACAAGGATGTGATTGTCGTGCCGTGCAAGGGCCCTGTCTCACTTCCTAGTATGCTCGCCGGGGGGGATGTTGACGGCGGTAGGGTTCTCCAGCGCGTCTGGCTCATCATTACTAGTCTGACGCCTGCTCCAGACACCGCGGTCTGCATCTGGGACCCCGCATTGGTCAAGCCCTTCACGAACGCAGAGCTCGTCACGGTGCCGGATGGTTTCAAGGAAGAAAACTTCGAGCCAGAGGACGAGATCGTTGCCGTGCAGACGCTGTGGGAAGACATTGATCCTGCGCGGCGCTCGGACGCGCAGGAGCGGTCTGTAATCTTGCAGCGACACCTTGTGTCGGGTGTGTCTGCATCTCGGACGGGCCTCTATAGCAAGTATCATGACTTAGCGATGTTCATGTTTGGTTACGCGCATGAGCAAACGCAGAGGATTGCACTGATGTATGTTGGCAAAAAATTTCAGACGGTTATACTCACCCCTATCCCCTCACGGCAGGTTCAACTTCATCCTTGACTCCCGCAAGTCGGGCATGGTCGTAAAACCGGACATTTTCATTGCCGACAAAAGGCGATTTGACTATGATATACCTGAATGCATGGGCGAATCCTCGCTAGCAGGTAATCCCCGACGGCCGCTCCGCAAGGAGGGACTCGGTCGCTTCGTCCTCGAGCAGCTCCAGGATGCCGCAAAGGAGATCGAAGGCAATGTTAAGAAGCGGTGCGAGACGCAGCTATCGGGGCTCGCAGTGAAGAAAGATGCCGACATCGTCGCCCTCTGGAAGCAGTACTCCGATGTGCCGCTGCTACAGGACGAGACGGCGGCCGTCAGGGACTTTGTCAACGACTGCTACCAGAAGTGGCTGTCCATTTGGGGGCGGAGCCCATCAAAGCGTGACCGCGTGTTTTACGGGAGCAAGAAGGAGGCGCAGGAAAGCCGCAGCAAGAACGATGCGAGCCGCCGTGCAGTCGCAGCGGAGTTCAACGAAGGCCCCGATCCAGCGAGAACGAGTGTCCTCCGGAAATTGGGTTTGCTCGACAAGGCAATGGCGGCGTGTGCGTACGCTGCCGGCCGGAAGTTTGCGTTTGACGTTGCGTTCACTCAGCTCACACTCATTAAGGCCGAGAAGTGTGGTATCGCACCGACCACGGAACTTATGAGCAACTTCCTCACGATGCCGGCGTCCGCTGTGAAGGTGCTCACGAGCAGGTTAGAAGTTACTGGGGGTTAGTCAAAAGCATTCCAAGATAGGTGGGTGTCGGTGTTGTGTAGAGGTATCCATGTATTGATGGATCTCCATTAGATCTCAATCAATATGTACGACTATTTGAGCCTCGTCGTGGCGAGTCTCTTGATTATGCAAGTCCAGGGAGGCAGACGCTGTGCGCTACATTTTGACGTGAAGTGTGATTCCGCTATATGGAGATTGCTTGTCGCGATGTTCAAGGCAATCATGACCTACGACGCCCCTTCGTGTCGTTTTGTCTGCTTCATCGTTCACCGTTATAAAGCACAAGGCCTGGTACCAGGAAGCTGGACACCAACGGAACCGCAGTGCTCACGCACGATTGGCGATCCTCAGTTTGCTTCCGCCCGGGCCAGTTAGCACCTCGATAATGACTGCAAGCATTTTCTCTGCAGCCACTGTTGAATAACAAATCAGCTGCTATTCGATGTCAAGTCGCTATTAATGAACATGCGGCTTTCCGGTCCAGAAAGCTAGCGTGGTAGACTGTGGGAAACAGCGAGGACGGGGTTTGGTAGCGTTAACAAAGAAACAAGGTCCGTATGATTACAAGCAGTGACAAATGGGTAACATATGTGAGTAAAAGACACTGTGGAATGTATGTATGAAGACGATGCGCTGAGGGTGACAGATAACAGAGATAGGACGCCAAAAGACCCTAAATGACTAACTAGATCGACAAGCAAGATGAGAGAGGTGGGCGTGGGCGAGAGCAGACATTCCAGATATCCATGGTCTCACATCAGGAAGAGAACTTCAGGTAAGAATGATTAGTAAGTCAAACGCCAGGCCTATGCCTGCTTCAATTTCTATGGTGATATTATCAGCAGAGGTCGCTGAACAACTGTTCCTGCTCACCTTTTTCAGCTTGCGCTGAGACACCTTCTTCTTCATGTAGTGAAAGATCCTGCCGAGGTCCGACCAGAGGAAAATGGGGACGACAATAACCATGAGCGGAAGCGCGATGATCCAGAAGCTACGAAGCGCACGTCAGCGACAGCGCATAGCAGCCAATAATAATAATAATAAATAGAAGGAATGAATACGTACACGACGTCGGTGTGACCATGGTCAATGGTCCACATACTTGAAAAGTTCATACCGAAGTAACCGGTAAGCAGCGTTAAAGGGAGGAAGATAATCGTGGCCAACGTCAACCTGCGCATGACCTCGTTCATCTCATACGAGGACATGTTGAAGGTAAAGTTGATTAAGTTCTCGCTGATGCCAGCGAACATGTCTAGACTGCTCAGAATGTACTCCATATGGTCGTGGACGTCAGCAAGGTAGATTTTCGACTTGTGGCTCATGAAGCCTTGAACCTTGACGGCAGGGTCGAGCGACTCGGACAGCGCAGCGACACGGTCGACGTCATAGCGCCGAAGACCATAGATGACCGTCTTGATTGGCTCCAGAGTACGCTTGTGCAGGATAAGGTCGCCTTGAAGGATATGCACTATGCGGGACATCGCTTAGCACCGTTACAGAGTACGAAGCAAGATAAGGTACATACACCGTCGCACATGCTTCATGCTAGGCTTCAGCAGGACAGCCCGTTCAAGCTTCAATATCTTGTGCTGGTATTCCTCCACGACCTCCAGAGCCTGATCAACAACTATGTGACTGATCAACGACATTTCAACGACAGAAACACATGTACATACCTAGATCAAGAAGACTCTCGACAAGCAGAGAAGCATCTGCCGTTTGGCGTAAACCTGTGTCCCGCTGACGGAGACGGTTCGTGATTGGTTGGGTGAAACCCAACCTGTTATCTTGATGAATGGTGACAACAGTGCCTAGAACGCCTCAGGTGAATATACCGAATACGCGTACGGTAAATGCAGGCACACCATCACGGAATAGGAAAATGCACATTGGCGAGATCTTGACGTTCACGCGCTCGCCCTTTGTCAGGTCCCGGACAAGTTTAGCCGTCCTAGCGGTGCTCTTGGTCTAATAACGGAGATGAATTCAGGATATGGGAAGGGCACGAGGTCGCACGTACTTGGGACTGCAGATCTTCAGTGTTGCTGAAGCGGGCTATAGGCGGAACACCCAGGTTTGCACGAGGGGCGTGGGCAGAGGACTCCACATCCTTGCTGAAGCGCCTCTGGATTGCGGCGCGCAGAGGAGCATTTCGGGCTGTCGCGAAGCGAGATGAAGGCGGGCTGCCGTACATCGTTTTCTCGTCCCCGTCGTCCTTGTCAACGGAGTCTTCGGCATCCGATTGGTCGTCGTAAGGCTCGGGGGAGGATGATCGAGGTAGGTGTGTAACCGAGTTGTCGGGTGTGCTCATCTCTTCGTCAGAGACAAGACTGTGGCATAGTACACGGAGGAAAAGGTGCTTCTGGTAGTAGTCTGCCTTAGACCGTGCGGCCTTGCGTGTATGAAGTAAATCTTCGATGGCGAGGGGGTGCATGTCTGCAAGGCGTTTAGTAAATCACGGCGGCACAAAAAAGCGCACAAGGATAGACGAACCAAACTTGATCGCCAGCGCGCTCACGACGTCCCAGCTGATACCACCGACGTTGATCCACCGCACTTTGACCCAGGACTCCTTCGTACTCGCTCCTTCGTCGGCGAGCAACTTGATGAACTCGGAGTTGGTCATGCGTCCGAAGCTACTCCGCACAGCAGAGTAGTCGACGACCTCGATAAGACACTTCTGCCGGATGTGTCCATATGTTATGAACGCGGACTCGCGACGGGGGTCGATACCGGGCTCGGCACCGATGCGACCAGTGGTCATCGCTACTGAGCCTCGGCGCATGGCAATAACCTTGCGCACGGCACGGCGGAAGCGGTCTCCAGGGGCCATGAAGATTGTTCGCATTTGCGGACGCTCGCTGGACGTGCTCTTCGCTGAGCGCGCAGGCTGCTGCTCCCTGAAGCTTGCCGGAGCGGAGAGAGGTTCTAGCGCAGCCTCCATATTGGGTCTGTTTTCATGCTGTGGAGAAGAGAGACTCCTACCCATTGCCTCTGTGTTGAGAGGCGGCAGTGGAGGTGGGGAGCTGACGACGGGCGAGTCGAGCTCATCTTCCAGATCGGGTGTAAGTGAGCGACCATCCGAGTCACTGAAGCTATTTTCACGGGGCATGGCGGAGAGACGACGTGACGATAAAGAGACAGAAATGAGTGAGAGAATCTATCCCTTTAAAAAGAGTGAGGGAGAGCGTGGAGTCCGGCCAGTAACTGAGATGAGGACCATGGTTGCATCACGCCCGACTACCATCAGTTCGATACTTGGCGTCAAAAGGCATGAGGCAGATGGCGCATCAACCCGAGCCGATGCGCCAAACCCGACCGAGGCCTCATGAGCTCCGCGCAGGCATTTGCACAGGCGTTGCGGCCTGAAACGACGAATCGAGCGAAAATTACAGAGAGCTGCAGAACTGAGCGTGGTTTGTAGAAACAACCCGACCCGTGGGTTGGTGATACTGACACCACCACAGATGGGCTGAATGAGATGGATAGCAAGTGGCAGACGTAGACTAGCACAAGCCTCGAAGAATAAACATGAATAAAACTGAAGAACAGAGATGAGCCTCAGTGATAGATGCGAGAGCAGAGCAAAGCAGTTAGAGCAAGATAACGGAAGCATTTTAGATGGAGGTCTACTCAGGGCGGTAGCTTGCAGCCCATAACACGCACTGAAATGGACTATCAAAACAAAGTCGAGTAACATCGAGAGGGCACGCGACGCACCGTGTCCGTCTAAGGATCCAACAGCAAACACCATTTCTCTAGGATGGAATGCCAGTGCACTTGTGCGCATAATGTACGGCGAGAGCGCATCCCTGGGCGGAGGAACAGTCAGCACGGTGGAAAGCGTGGAAAGCGCTCCGCTCTGCGAAAGTGAGTGAACGGCAGTGCGCTGTGTTCTCCAGTTGGCCACCGAGACAGACGAGGTCCTATAAGGATCAACAGAGCTCAGATGGGCAACAAACCCATCAAGATGATCACTTACGCAGCAAAGACCCCTGTCAAGTCGTGCACGTCGAAAGCCGACAGACCCTGAGGAAAGAGATCCCACGTGTATACAGGCTGTTGTGACCCTCGGATGTCGAACAGTTTAACATCGCCATCAACACTGTCATTTAGTTAACATCTGGAACGCCGCGCAGGGTTGATTTGCATACCTCGCCGAAACAAACTGCGCTGGTATCGTCGGGTGCCACTTGACTTTTTGCACCCACGAAGAGTGCGCGGGATAGTGTCGGACCACTGCCTCATCCTCTTCGAGGCGACGATCGAATACCTTCATTACTCCGTCTCCGAAGCTTGCCACGAACACACTCAGATTACCGTCTTCACATTTCATAGAGGTGATGGGACTCTCCTCCTGAGTGTCGATATCCTGCAAGCCACAATTTAGCGAGGGATCACGGTGTAAGTGACGAATGCGTTGACCATAATTGAGCTCTCGGTATGTGCATCCCAGACCCGCACCATGCGCGAGTCGCCGCCCACAAGCAACGTTCCACCCTGCTGCTTCCATTCCGTTATGAGGCCGGCACCACGCTTCATGCGCAAGACCTCGTTGAGGCCCCGGAAAGAGCTGACCATCTGAACAGGGCTACCACTGAGATCCGGGTCATAATTTCGGTACATGCGTACGATGCCATCCGCTGTCTGGTGTTTCAGCAATGCATGCAAATGCTGGATTCAGAATACTCACCCGCCCCAGTTAAGATGATACCCCCTATCTCCTCGTTGATGAAATGTAACGACGTGATACTGCTACCCAGCGGGTTGCCGTTGAAGAATTGGGAGACCTTCCTCTTGTGCAGCCAGTCGTAGACGCTGTAGAAAGCGGCATTAGCCGAGCACAGAGCAACAGTGTGCATTATGAGGCGCACAGAATGAGATCCTGTTCGTTGGTAACCACCATATGTGGGTCATAAGCATGGAACGCGATTTGCGTTGGAAATACTGAAGTAGGGATAGATGCTACGGGTCTGTCCCATCTACAGTTATCTAGAGAGGTGTCAGATTGGAAACCAATGGTCGCAGAATCATGATATGTTACCAGCTACATCGGCTTGGGCGCGGGTTTCGTTGATAATATTCTCGTTGCGCTGCTGTCGCCAAACCTGGTAGTTGTATTCCATGCTGCCGGGTTCGTCCGGTTCAGGTTGCTGCGCACCAAAATCCATCAACGAGAGGAATCACACAGTTCGGTTTGGACTTACCCTCATCTGTGGTTCCTTGAAGTACTCGCAGCACCAGTCGTAGAACCGACTCTTGAGCGGAAGCACGTCCCTGATGCCCACGCCAGTGCCAAGACCGAGAATGATACTACTGCCGACAGAGTCCACCGAGAATGTGCTCCCTGATGGGCTTGACATCACGCCTGTGCCATGATGGTGTCCATGCTGTTTAGAGCGCGTGCCAGCTCTGCGACGGGCGCGTAAACGCTCCATATCCTCCTCCATAAGTGCCTCGATAACATCCGACGCCATGTATTCCACCGGCGGGCGTGGTGTCTCATCCGAGCGGGTCGACAGTCCGGGAGACGGCGGTGTCTGCGGGAGGTAATAGTCATGCGAGGGCGACGACGGGCGAGAGTAGGGTGACGTGTATTGCGCGTAATTCAGGTTGGGCGAGGGAGGGCGCGAGACACCAGGTACCTCAAGCTGGGAGATGTTTTGGGGTTGAGGCTTGGGCGACGAGCGTCCGCCGTCGCCGTCCGAAGAGGGGAAGGGAAGACCGCCAGCAAGGTGTCGGAGAGCGTTCGCAAACGAAGACGTCCGCTTCAGAGTATTGCTGACGACCATCGAGGTGGCCGTCATGCCACTACTCATCGTATCGCTCCGCGGGAGTCCTGGCCTTGCAGCCTGAGATGGAGGCGCCTGCGTTACGGTGGTTTGCGAGCCATGCGAGGGCACTCGAGACCTTGCACGGCGCTTCATGGTTGCTTGAAGCGCATTCGGTGGAGGCTTGCTCAAGGAAGTGTTCTCCAGCCTCGTGAACGGCGACTCCAGCAGCAGCGCTATGACGTAGTCAACAACAGTCTGGGCGTTCGTGGCCACCTCTTGGTACGGGTCACAAGAAAGCTCAAGCAAGACGGAGAAGATCGTGAAGAATGACGACAACCAGACCCTGTTCTCCTCACGAACATTATCGTCTTCAAATCCGCCGAGCCACTCCGCGACGGCCTGTTCTGCGACATCTTCTTCCTGCTGCGTGTTAAAGTCATTCTGGCGGCGCTCTTCTTCCCAGTAGAGCCATGCGCAGACAATGAAGTACCCGCGCCATTCCTTGACAAGACAGCTGATAACCACCAGGAGTTCCTTGCGAACCATCGGGCTGGCATCCTCTTTGATTGCCAACGCCGCCCCAGTCACAACCGCAACCTCCATTCGGAAGTGTATCCGCTCCTCGAGCTGGTGCATTGTTCCAGATCCGCCGCCACCAAGCTTGCTGAGATCTGCTGAGCCTGACGCGCCAAGGAAGGTCCCTAACGAGTACAGTGCCGCACCACGAACCTCGGGCGAGTCATCCGAAAGTAAAGCAATGAGCTTGTCCTGAGTACCCTTATCCACACCCCAAACCCGCAGCTCATCATGTTGGTCCCAAATCTGCGCGACGCACAAGGCTGACCATTGACGCAGTAGGAAGTCGCTGTCGTCCAGCCCTTCGTAGCATGCATCGAACACATGCTCGCTCCAGCATGCCCGCTGCCCAGGCGGGTAATCGCGGGCGATGGCAGACAGGATAAATGCGCACATCGCCTTGTGCTCCGAGCCATTGGGGATGGCAGGCGCACGGGGGTCCTCGGGAATGGCTAGCACGTTAGCGAAATACCGGTAACCCTGTCCGTTGTAGAGATCGACCTGACATGTCGGATCAACCGCAAGGATACGAGCCCAGATGAAGATCAAAACGGGACGCAGGTCCTGCCCGGCAGCTTGAAGAAGTCGCGAGATGTACGGGAAGATACCGATCGTCAGGGCTAGGTGCACCGCCCACGGACCCAAATCGACAAATTGTGACAGAAGAATGAGCGCGCGCAGACGATGTGGCTGGGATAGAAGAACTTGCAGCACGATAGGGAGCTGATCGGGAGGTTTGCGAGGTACAAGGTCTTTGGTCGAGTCTGAGCTAGATGGAGGGGGATACGGTGTCGCAGCGCCGTTCTGGTCTGGAGTCGGTGATTGATTCCTACTCAGCGGGAGCGAGAGTGGTCCCCGCTTGGTTAATGCCGAGCCACCTCGAGATATCCAGACCTCAAAAGCCGTCAGCTGATCTGAAAAGAATCGACTGGGGATATAGGTGTACTGTTTCTCGCTATTCGCTTCGTTTCCGGGAGCACCCAGAGCAGTAGCAGTAGCTCTGCGCCGGCTCGTCGTCAATGAAGCGGGAATCTGGCCGTTCGGTGGCAGCTCGGCGTGCATAAGTAGTTCGGGTAGCTGTCGCAAACAGGCGTCGACGGCTAGATCCCACGAGGCCCACAAAGGGTGAGTGTTGGTAGCAGGAAGCGCGGGGGAGGTATGTGGCGTGCAATGATAGTTCTTCATTATGCGCTCAGCGAGCAAAAAGTTGCGGAAGAGCGAAGCCACAAGCAGATCTGATCGGTACAGACGAGTGAATATTTCTCGGGGAAACGTAGTCCATGCGATAGTGTCTGTAATCGCGGTGAAGATCCAATTAAGTTCACCAAGGGGTGTACGACGGTCTTTGAGGTCACCGGGCAGCTGCATTACCATGTCGTTCGTAATGTTGTTCGGTAGTTGATTGTTCATAATGAACCATCGGAGGGCGATGTCGATCGGGGATGTCAGGCATGAGGTGAACAGGTCGGCAGGAAGCTCGGGACAGGTAGGAAGCTGCTCGTCAGCGAGGCAAGAGGCAAGTTGTATTGCATCTTGGAAGGGAGGGTCGGGATAGCTGCCTGTGTTCATGTGAGTGTCCTCATCTAGACGTTTAGCGAAAGTTATGAAGTTGTTAAGTAAATGGCCAGCTGAAGAACAGTCCCAAATGTAGACGCAGGGAGTGCCGAGGCATCGCTGTAGTTCTTGTAATGACATCGGTATGTATTGGGTATAATTCTTGTTGAAACACCACAGCTCGCCGCTTGGGGTTGGCTTCGGCACGCCGTGCCCGTTGTAGTGGAACAATACCGCGTCGTCTTTTGCCGAATTTCGCGCCTTGATACAACCTTCGCGCAACTCATTGTCGGAAGGGTCTAGGAAGGCCTTATACATAATTTTGGGGCTAAGGCCCTCAAACTGGTGGCGCAGGTTCGTTCCGATGATCTCGAGTGCCTTGTATGACGGCATGCTATGAGGATCGACCCAACACTCAAGGTTTGCGCATGGGATTGTCTTCACCACGTCTGGCGGGTCTACGTCGATGTTTAAACAGAGAACTAGACAGGCATTGTGCGTCTTCAGCTTCGACGGGGACGCACGCCAGGGCTTCATCTTGGGAGCCCATCTTGGAGGTGGCGCGGGATTGCCGCAAGTGAGATGTCGTTTCGCAGACCAGTATGGAACGTTCGGAGGCGCCTCAGGTGCAGTAGTGACCGAAGGAGCAGGGCCTGCGTCGGGATGATGACCGTTTATGCCCCTTCCATTCCGCTGCTGCCCAGAAGAGGGATCAGAGCGTGACACTGAGCGATATTCACGCTCGGTCTCTGATTCCTCGGATCCATGGCCATTCAGCCCATTTCGACTTGGGGGCCAAGGATCGCCGTCTATGGACCGGACCAGCTGAGACGGGGATCTTCGAACAACAAGTAGGTGACGCACTGTCTTGTCCACTCCTCGTATTTAGCATGATTCTTCAACCCTGTTTTGTGTCGTAAGGGTATCGACTCCACGAGGCAAATCGGGAATATTCCACCTTGCGCTCGCTAAAATGGAACCAGGAGGCAAACTCTCAATTCGCACGTCCTAGGCTCAAGCGTAGGCCCACTCACCGAAAGAACAGCTTCACGGTTGTCGCCGCCCACAGTGAAATGAACCGCGCCGACAGCAGACAAGGGTCCCTCCAGGAAGAGCAACTGGCAGTATAGTGAAGAACTCTGTGCGCACCGCTCCGGACGTCACTGCTTATGGCCTCAAGTGTAAGTGCCAGCCATACAACAAGGGCTTATTGGTAACGTTCCCACAGTCAATGCGCTTAGAAAGACAATAGAAAGCGGATCAAACTCTGATCGAAGCAAAAGCTTTACCCCGTTACTTGCTGTTGTATTGCACGCGTCGAGTGCTCACCGCGACCACCTCTTGAATCCGAGCCTCGGTCGATATCCTCGTGTTGGGCCACAGCGATGGCGCCGACGGACCCTCCTATTGGTGCCGTGGTCGAAATTCCCGCGGGTCGAGGATTTGTTCGCTTTTGTGGCCCGACCTCCTTCTCTGCCGGCAAATGGGTTGGCGTCGAACTGGAAGAGCCAACGGGAAAGAATGACGGCACTGTGCAGGGTGTCCGGTATTTCACTTGTAAGATACTGCACGGTATGTTTGTGCGTCCGAGTCAGGTCAAAGCTATCCTCTCTGTGCCAGAGCCTACACCGGCACCGCCAGTGAGTTCCCTAGCTTTACTACGTCTGCACAGCGCTAAGGACTTGTGTTCAGCCTCCAATGTCCAAGACAACGCTAGGTCATCAACGTACAGGAAGCACAGGTCTTTCACGCACGAACACTTCGCGCTCGATTGGTTCTGCACGTGCTAACAGCCCGTCCAAGACGTCTAGCGCAAGTGTAAGCCCGAACCCTTCTACGGGTCTCGCCTCACCATCCCGTGCAAAAATTAGTGCTGGTGCTTCTCCTGCAAGACGGCGGCCCTCAGTATCTCTACAGCAGCGCACTGTTGCGCGCCGGTCATCTGTCATCTCTGACGCACCTCCTGGTCCTTCGAAGCAACGAAGCACAGATGCTTTCCCGCAAGACCGTGTGCACAAGCTGGAACCCCCAGCTGTATCTCAGTCTCCTCCAACACTATCCGTCCTTGCGTCTTCACCTCTCCAACAATCGCATCTGCGACGCGTTGCAACCCCTCCTCCCCCACCATCTCCCGAACCTGGCGAAGATTTGCCTCCGACGCGCTCCAGTACGCCTCCAGTGAGTGCACTCCAAATATTCGGATCTTGATACCCATACAAGCGTCAAGCAGCAACCCTCACTAGACGACACAGAGCTACAAGAACTACGTGCGAAGATACGCGTCTTCGAGATCAAGCGTGCAGACGACACGCGCCATATCCGTGAACTCGAAACTCGCCTGAACGAAGCCGAATCCTTCGTCGCCCTTCGACCCAAATTGCAAGCGAAGCTCAATCAACTCCAGACCGAGCTCATTGCGACCAAACGCGAACTAGCAGATGCTCAACAACTGTCCCAGCTCTCCGACAGTCGTGTTGGGGATTGGCAAGAACAGCTGGAAATGGCGATGTTGGACAAGGAGGTTGCCGAAGAACGTGCCGAGGCTGCAGAATCCGAAGTTGAGGAACTCAAGGAGCAATTTGCCATCGTTCAGGTCGAGCTGCAGCACCTACGAGAGGGTGGCACGGGAGAAGATGGCAATGAGACCATTAAACACGCACTTCCTTACATCCAGCTTGAAAAGCAGAATGAAAGGTTGAAGGAAGCTCTCATAAAGTATGTATGTCCGTCATCAACGTGATCCTTGCTGAACGTCGTTAGGCTGCGGGACATTTCCCAGGAAACTGACCAAGAGCAAAGACGACGCATTTCAGAAATGGAGAAAGATGTAGCTGAGTTCGAAGAGTTGCAGTGTGAGGATCATCTTCATTTTGGCGCTTTTTGCCGGCTCATATACGGCGCAGCGCAATACGAGTCTACGCTTATCAAACTTGCTAACGCCGAGGTTCAAATTGACGATCTCAAAGCGCAGCTTGACGATGCTCTGGGTGCTGAAGAGATGCTTGTGCAGCTTACTGAACGCAATCTTATGCTTGGAGAGAAAATCGAGGAGATGCGCGTCACCATCGAGGACCTCGAAGCTCTTAAAGAACTCAATGACGAGCTCGAAGAGAATCATATTGAGACCGAGAAAACTATGCAAGAAGATCTCAGTGAGCGCAGTCTCTCAGATCTCAATGCCTGCTAATCAACATTGTGCAGATGGAAAGGACGTTGAGATTCGCGAACAGGCTCGCAAGATCCAGGTGCTTGAAGACGCGTGCCAGGACCTTGAGGGTACTATTGTTCAATTCCGTGAGCTGGTCATGCAGCTGCAGAACGAGCTCGATGCTTTACGCGCCGAGACACAGACTGCGCAACACGAGTCGGCGACGGCTGTGTCACAGACCGCCGCCATGATGTCGCTCAACCTCAGGCTGCAATCTTCTGCGTCGAAGAATCAGGCCCGGGCTATTGAACTCGAGCTTAGACGCATCGAAGCCAAAGAGACACGGGAGATGCTCGATATTATCCAACCTTACCTCCCGCAGATTTACGTCGAGACCGACATGGATGCGACGAACACTTACATCTTCTTCCAGCGCCTTGCTGCTAAGATAGACCTCATCAACACTTTCGTTGCACAAGCGCACAACTTGCCAGATGCTCTCACTGGATCTGTGTCCGAAGCACTCGTCGGTATTTGCGAGGTATGTCCTGCAATCTAAGTCGATGTTCTAGTGCTAACATCCAGTATAGTTACGTGGCCGTCTTTCGAATCTATCTATCACCTGCCAACGCTTTGCGGCTACTCTACGTCGTTGTGACGTCGAGTCATTCTTGAATATTGGCCGCATATACCCAGATGTCGCGCCGATGGAAAAGCGGATCGATATGCACATCGATTTACTCCGTCGTGAAGAGTTCCGCGCGTATGAATGTGTCAGCGATGCAGCGAAGTCGGTCTTTATCGTCCCTATCCGCAACTTCATTGGCTGAGCGCGCTTGCAGGTTGCAGTCGCAATTTGACCACTTGGTCGAGACATATTTCAACGGCTTCGACTTCGACCTTGGTGAGCGCGAGCTTGGCTATACACTGTCGTGTGACTACGACTTGGAAATGTTCTCTGCCTCTGTGGGCCTCATTAAGACCGCAATCACGGGCATCATGGAAGACGGTGGTGGGTCTTTAATCGACCATCCATCGTGACTTCGGCTCAAAATTGAGTTAGACCAAGAGGTCGATCTTGACGGCATAGATTCGCAAGCCGAGTTCTTTGAACCATTGCAGAAGCTCCTCGACCAATGCAGGGCAACGAAAGTTTTGACAAGGTCAGCCACAATACAAAAATGCTAAGATCCAGACTGTTGATTCCCCGCAGGAAACTTGCTAAGCGCCTCGAAGATCTCATCGGTGATTCAGCTGCCGCCAAGGCGCACCTGGTACCTCAACTGAAGTCGCTCAGTGAGAATGTGCCGGAGCTCGTCAACTTCGGCTTCTCCCTTGCTCAGCAGGTCATGCCCCACCTCAATGAGGTCCGCAGCTCCAAGACGGCGTTCAAGCTTGCTGCTGTCTTGGAATTCGTTAGCAAGTGCGCTGCGTCCACAATTGGGAAGGGTAACAGGGACGGGCCGGCTCCGTGGCACGCTGTCGGAGAGTTCTTTACGAAGGTTGGTCAGGAGGTCAACACGCTCATCCAGGCGGCGAGCGAGAATGAAAACATTCAGAAGAGTCGGTCTCTCATCATTCCTCTTACGCATTGCTTACTGATACTCCCGCAGTTTCCGGCATTGCGCCCTGGATCACACGCATTCCCGAGATCAAGTCTGCTACCGCTGTCAATGTCGAGGCTGAACGCAAGCTTGCACAGCTCAACGATGAGATGCAGGCGCTCGTTCGCACACTCAAGGCCAAGGATCAACATATTCAGGAGAGCGGCGTCAAGATCGAGCTTATGGAGCGCCGTATGGAGGGCGTCAAAAAGCAAGGCGAGATGATTTCTAACCTCGAGTCTGAACTCCAGAAGGCACGCAAGCAGGAGCGCGCGTACGAAGAGGCGATGGAGCAGCTGCAGTCCGATCTAGACGCGCTTGAGCAGGATAATAAGAAGCTCAAGACTGCCGCGAGTACTGTCGAGCGACAAGGTGGGTGTTCGCAACTTATCGCTGGATGGATGTTCTAACTTCGTCATAGCCACTCCTGGAGTGCAGCCCGCCGAGACAGAAAACATTCAGGTCGAAAGTAGTCTCGAGACATCGTATCTGCTGGAACAGGTCAGCATTCCTACTGTTTCTGACCGGGCAATCAACTTATCCCCTTCCAGATCGATGCTCTGCGTCGTACCCTGCGCTTTCTCCGTACGGAGAACTCTTTCCTCAAGGGGCAGGATCTCCTGCGCGAGATTGAGGCTCTTCCCAAGCTGCCCGTCCCCATCCCTCGGGAATCTACGCCACCTCTTGTTCCTTCGGGCCAGTCCGACACGGATGACTCAGACTCCGAAGACCCTGGGAAGCCACTTTCCCTCACCACCCTAGCCGCCGAGTCGAAACTGCTGTACCGCGAGGTTTTCAAGTTCACCGCCTCTCCGAAGGTCGTCGACATCACGTCACGAGCTAATAGAGATGGCCTCAGCCGAGCATGGGTTCCGAAGAAGAAGACACCTGCGTATCAGGTGTGGGAGCGCCGAATGGAGGGCGAGAGGCTCAGCCGCCGCGTGAAAGGCTTGCTTGAGCGGACAAACAACATACAGGCTGCAGTCACCCGGTAGCCTGTTTCTCGGAGAGCTGTTTCTTGGGGTGGGATCGATTCACACATTTTCTCTGTTAGACGCATCTATCTTACTTGATTCCTCTGTATTGCATTATCGTATACCCCTCATAGGCCTATGTTTTCATTATCGTGCCCGTTCATAGCCATGCACTGATCTACTTTAACCCTGAAAGCATACCATTAGTCTTTGTCGGTGAGTCCATATTCGTTGTGGATCTGTCGTATAGTGACTCCCCTGTGAGCAGCGAGCTAGAGCCGAGGGGTCAGATTGCTGTCTGTATCTGGTGGGATTTCCACTCTTACGCGTCCAATGAGGATCTTTGTGGCCCGAAGTTGAATGCACGGCTACGCAAGACGGGTATATGCATCTCACCTGGGCCGCATCTTTCGCTTCGTTGTAGCTATGCAGCAGCTTGATGTGCTTCGAGACTATCATATCCACGTCCTCGTCGGCCCTGCAAAATTATATTAACATATTCAAGCGCATATACGCTAGCGTTGCCTACTTCAGAGTGGCTTGTAGCTCAATGATCTCTTGCTGAAGCGCGGCGATGCGCTCCTGTTGTTTCTAATGGCCCACCCCGGTTGGCACGCAAGCTAATGAACGACACGAGTAGCCACCAACCTTTGTTGACATAGTAGCGTGCATTTTCGGTGCGTACGTGACCTACGGCTGTTGCTAGATTCTGCGGTACAGAGGTAGCGAGTAAGCCGCGGAGATGCGGAGATTTTGTAAAGCTGCTCACCACAAAACCAGCTCCTCATATTCAAGCTCCGACTTATTCCCTTTCTCTAGCCACTGGCTACTTACCGCCACGCTGCCAAAGCCATCATGGCAAGATCAGGTTAGAGTCTCCTGATGTTAATACCGCATTAGAAAGCTGTAGCATGCGGTTTGAAATACTTGCACTTTTAGCTGCGCCCATGCGTATGTTGTTATGGTTATTCTCGCACGCAGATGGTGCGGGTGCTGCCACGGCGTCGCTGAGGGTGTAACCTCTCCCCGCTGAGAACAGGCAGTACGTGTGCGAGTTTGGTGGTTTGTCAGTGCAGGTAAGGTTTACGTGACCCTGCCCTTGTTGTTCCCGCGAACTCACACAATGCGGCAGGCTTGTGATAGCTACCGAGCCCTTTACCCTGCTGGCAGCTGAGGCCTTTCGAGATAGATCTGACATCATGCATCGTCTGCAGTCTATCCTCTGGCGCGGTGCCCGCTGTAGGCCTCCAGAGAGCTGCGCTATCATGCGCTGGCCATGATCGTCGCGTATGCTCGCCACGCCGGGTGCTGTGACTGCGTCATGTCTCAAACATCAGGTGCTTGCGGCCTTGTTCAGTGTGTGGGCTGTACCACAGGCTCGGAATGTTCCTGGTCCCTGCACGGGTCCCTGTATTGTCGTGTTCTCTGACGGCATTATCCGCAAGACGCACGGGTCCGCTGCGCCGATAGTCAAGGATTACTTCATAGCAACAGCGGACAACGCCCAAGAGGTGCATTTAGACGGTGTCCGCCCAACCTCGATTCGACGGAGGAGACCTCCAGCTCTTGCCGACTAATGACGAGGACACTACCATGTAGCCTGCGCAATTCTGAATCCGTTTGAACCCGTCAAGGTCTCAGGATTATCTGTCTTGCCGCACAGGTCCTGGGTGATAGGCGATGTATCATTTCTCCGCAAGCGACGTGGACCGTTCTTAGTATGGCAGGCTCAGATACATTGCTGGACGCTTGTTGCAGAGTTAGAGTACAGGAAATTATGGGAATATGAGCCATCGTGCCTTTCGCGTCCGGGACTGGTCTCGATTCTGCGGGCGTTTACCTGTTTCGGCTGAGGAGTTGATTGCTTGAGCCTGAACAAAAGTAGAGAAACTCGCACCACCACCGCCTCTCCGGCGACGACGACCACCTTCGTTTGAAACTCTCGTTGCTAACTTACTCGCCTACGTCGACTTGCGTTTCTTGCCCGCTGTCCTGTTTCGATACTCGGACAAGTGCTTCTAGATCAGCGGCGTCTGCTGCCTCGAGGCAGGACTCTCCCCGCTCCAAGACCAAAGCTCAGACATTCCCAACTCGTGGCTTGCACGCCTCACAATCCCCTTTCCTCTAATTGAGCAAATTTCGGGCTTCCTCCCGTTAGACATAACCTGTTACTCGTCTCTCTCCGTGACCACTCGTTGCCGCCGACCTACCACTTTGCTCATTCTTCGACACCGGACCAGGTCGCATGCTCAAGGCCCTACAAGCCACATCTCCGATGGCCGTGTCCGAACCCAGAGCCAAGCTGAAATCTGTGCTTGGTTTTGCTGCCAGCGGAACGCCGAAGGACGTCGAGACGCTTCCATCCCTCGCAAACAACAACGGCTACAACCGCCCTCAAGCATTCTCGCGTCGAAGTATCGACAGCGTAGCCAGCTATCAAGTCAAGGGCAAGACCCGTACAAATCGTACAAGCGTGGCGGACGGCCCTTTCTTTGAAGAAGACGCTGTAACTATCAGCTCAGACGTCCCCGGAAGCATGAGGAACGGCATCGCGCCCCGTTCAATGCCCTCGCGCAGGATACCCGGTCGCGGCGAGAAGCAAGAGGGACATTGGACCATTAGCGTGGCTGAGACTCCGCACGATACGTCGTCGTACAGCCTGTACGTCAAGAGTGAGTCCAGTTTGCGTTTTCTGCATGGCACGTCGGACGCGCCACGCGCGGCAGACATGAGCTTTACTGATGTCGTTCATCTCCAGCACCGACCCACAATCTAACGCTCACTCGCAGCGCAGTCGAGATCGTCGAAGTAGACGGGAAGTTGCGCGATACTCTACCAGGGCTCAAGTTGCCCAAGCTGCCGCTTGATGCCTCCAGTTTGCCGTCTCCACCCAAGAAGAAGGGCAATTTCCTCATCACGCTTTCGCGGTTCGCGTCACCGTCAAGCAAGAGCTCTACCTTGCGACAAGCCTCTTTGAGTCGTCCGACCACAGTAACTGCGCAGTCGAGCTCACATACGTCCTCTGTGAATACTCCCGTCGCGTCTCCCTCACAAGAGCGCGACGATCCATTTTCATCCTTCTCCCCAGAAACCCTCGGCGGCGTCGACGGAGAGATTCATCCGTCGCATGCCATCGTGACTGCCCTCGGAGCCTACCTCACCGCCGTAGCAAATGACCCCGATGTCCGTCAGACACGCGTGTGGAAGCGATTCGTGAGGGTGCGCACGGATGACCTCCAGAGTGCACGGCCAGAACGTGCAATCAAACGCGTGCGTTCAGACCTTGCAGCCCATCCAAGTCCCAGCAGCACTGCGCCGTCCATGAGCCAAGTTCTAAGCGACGCCGAGAACATCGCCAGTGGCACCAAGACGCCCGAGGAGCAGACTCAAGAGGAGATTCCCGCTCCTGCCCAGCCCGATGCCGAACAGAAGCCTGAGATTGACGATGCCCCAACCGCCGCGGACGAGAAGCCCGCTCAGGAAACGGGCTATGCGCCTGGCGCTCCATACACCACCGGGCAGGCTGAAGAGCCATTGCGGGCAGAGCCCGAACAACAGCCCTCATCAGAGCCCGTGCACGATACCTCTGCATCCCTTCCCGAAGCTCCAATACCTGTTCCCAGCACACCTGAGACCGAGGAAGTCGGCCGATCGACCCCCACGCCCTCTGAGTCGCCCTCCTCAAGAAACTCGCACATTGTCCGTTCCCAGTCAGCAGACCCCATGCAGCGAGCATCCCGCATCCATTCAAGCTCGTCCGCTATATCCCAATCGCTTCGGGGCAGCTCTTCCCAGGCTTCTATGACCGGTGATGATTCCTCTATTTCGACTACTGGACGGCGCTCAAGTCGGAAGAAGCGCTCGAAGTCTGTCGACCCTGCCCAGCTTGAGAAGAAGAAATCGAAGCGAAAAGTGGTTATTGACGACTTCGAGTTGGTGCGAGTCCTCGGGAAGGGTTGTGCGGGCAAAGTGCTCCTCGTGCGCCACAAGCCAACGTCCGGTGTGTACGCCCTCAAGGCTATTACGAAACGGCATGTGCTCGCACATCAAGAGCTGCAACACACTCTCACGGAGCAGGCGGTGCTCAAGAGGATGGCCGCTGAGGGTACGGACCCTTTCGTGGTCAGGCTCTGGTGGAGTTTCCATGACAAAGATTACCTATACTTGGTCATGGTACGTGTTCAACCGATGTCGATTTCGGGAAGATCTCCCTGACACAGATATAGGACTTCCATCCTGGTGGAGATCTGGCCACACAGCTAGCTCGGCTCGGCCGCTTGGGCCGCGACCGGGCCCGTTTCTACGCAGTCGAGATAGTAGAGGGTGTAGAGGGCCTTCATGCGGCAGGTGTGATCTACCGCGACCTCAAGCCGGAGAATATTCTCATTGCGAGCGACGGCCACATTGTCCTGACGGACTTCGGTCTGTCCAAGGAATTCCCACGCCGGTCAGCTGCGGTCACCGCACCGCCAACGCCGTCCGGGTCAAGAAACGAGTTCCTCGATGGCTATGGGCAGCCTACCACCCCGCCTTGGATGGAGGAGCAGCGTATCGCGAACCCCTGGACAGGATTGAATGACACAACAACCACTTTCTGCGGTACTGCGGAGTATCTAGCGCCCGAGGTCATCCAGGGTCTGCCGTACAGCTATGAAGTCGACTGGTGGAGCTTCGGCACAATGCTGTATGAAATGCTTGTCGGAATAGTAAGTTATCTAGGTCCTAGTCCTGTGTCATTGTTTCGCTGACACCACCCGTTCAGACGCCGTTTTGGGCGGACAACCATTCCGACATGTATTATAGAGTACTGCAAGACGAACTCGTATTCCCTGACGAGATCCACATCGATCGCGATACCAGAAGTCTGATTCGAGGAGTACGTCTGATGCTGTCTTTTTCCTTCCTTCACCATCTAACCGTTGTGCAGCTGCTTCAACGCAACCCCGCCCTCCGTATGAAAGAGCCAAGGATCAAGAAGCATCCTTACTTCTCAATGATGTACGTACTCACTTTTACTTGGTTACCTGCCTAAATGCGGTTCCGACAATTCTGACATTTTTACGTACAGCGATTGGTCACATGTGTATCACAAACGCTACATCCGTAAGTGCTCAGAGTGCGCTGTTTACACTTCATTCACTGACTGTATTGACAGCGCCTTTCGTTCCGCCAATCGACCCGTTGAATGCCGGCGATACGCAGAATTTCGATGATACCTATCTCGAGATGGAGCCAGTCATTGCCGATGAGGCCGACGACAGCAACGCGGAGAATGAACAGACGGATAACGAGCGGACGGATGGAGAAGAATCCGTTGCTACTCCTTCGCAGTCGCGCAGCCCATCTGTCCACCCCGAAGAAGGTGCCGTCGATGTGTTTGACGGGTATTCCTTCAAGGGTAGGCACTCGGTCATCCTGGACGACGAAGGCGAAGAGGGCGAAGGCGGTGGGTCTAGTGATGAAGACGGTGGCGAAGGAGATGAATCAGAGGAGGAGTACGAGGAGGAATCTGCCGTCAACGAGATGGAGACTGTCAACGAGGAGCCCGAGCCCGAGCCGGTAACTCCTGAGGCCAGGTCCAAGGATCTTCCCGAGCCCGCGGAGCCGTCACAAGCTGAAGCTGCTCCATCTGTCGAACCGGCGAAACCGGCGACGGAGCCTGCAGTGACCGCGGAGGCTGTCAGCATTGCAGAAGAAGAGACGCATGCAGGGCCGAAGGAAGAACTAGTTGCTCCCGTTAGGGCTTCCGCGCCAGAGGTCATAGAACCCATGGAGCCCGTAGAGCCCATAGAGCCTGTGAAGCCGGCAGTACCGGAACCAGAACCGCAGCCAGAACCTGCCCCAGCTGTGCCCGCTAAGGAGGAGATCATCGTCATCAAGCCTCCAGTTCCTCGACCTGTCGCTAAGGTCCGGGCTCGTCGCGAAAAGTCCGGTATTCCAGCTCTGGATCGCGACCTCGAGAACTACGAGGAAGGTGCCATCGCCGAACGCGACGAAGAGGAAGATGACTGGGACTTCGTTGAAACAAACGTGGACGAGGAGCGGAACGGCGCGAAAGGCGCTGGCCTCTTTACTCGTGGTGGCGTCGTTGATCGCTACAGGCTCACCGTCTTCCGTAAGTCGACGACACGCAGGTCGAATGGTCGTTCGCGGAACACAGAGTCGGAAGAGGGCACACAGTCACCGGCGCTTTCGGAGAAGCAGCGGCGCGGCAGGAACCCCGGCCTCACCTTCCGAAAGAGCCCCAAGGAGTTTTTGCGCACCAAGTCGCCTCCACCAAGTCTCTCGAGTAATAAGTCGCGCATTCAACAAGCCCTGTCTTCAGTATCTACGGCGTCGAGTGCTGGTCCCATTACGCCGTCGGCTTCGCTGTCATCTGCCCTTCCCGTATCGCCATCTCTGAAGTCCAAAGAATCTGCAGTCTCCGTGGGCTCTCCTAGCGAGTCCTCAGACCAGTCAGTCAACGGCGACATAGCGACCAACGGTGATGCTCCACGCGGTGTCTCGGTAGGATCCATCGAGGAGAAGCAAAAGAACAAAGTTCTGAAGAAGTACAAGGAGGGGGCCGAAAAAATGCTGTCCATCTTCCAATCACCTCGGTAGCCCTGCACCCCTCAATCGGGTCTTGGGGTTTTATGGCGCTATCTACATGTTTTCGTGGAATCTCTTGTTTGGATGCCTATGCTTATCTATTGCCCGGTTTGAACTCACTCCTGACACTAAACTGTTTAATGTTTCGGCATCGCAATCACGCGTTCAGGACCGTTCGTCTCTGCCACTGCTCTTCGCTGATACCACACTCGTTTTTCAAATTGTTTTTATAGTTTGTTTCACTGCACCCAATGCTGTCCTTGTAATCGCTCGTAATAGTCCAATAGCAAACCATAGCCTCAATAGAGTCACTCTTTAATCATAGGATTCTCATAGTACGACCAGTTAATCACATTGAAAACCCCTCCTTTCCACTACGAATACACTAGAACGACGGCATGCACAATATATATACATAATTCCAAGCAGACGAATGCGGAACGACGATTAGATGAAACAATACTATCAGTCTAGGTCTTGTAAACTTTTCCTCAGTATCTGTACCCGCTCCTCGACTCGGTCGAGGACACTATTCAGCTCGGCAACTTCGGTCTTCACATCGCCCGTTGGCTCCGAACGTATCGCCGGCCATCCGCCCGCGGCAGCCTTGGTCGCCGTGAGCTCGTCCCAGAGGGCGGTGACGATGCCCTGGACCCACTTCTCGCGTTCCTCAGTGCGGCGCATCTCCTTGCGGCGGCCGACCTCCTCGCGCTTGCCCATCATGACGAGCGTCCAGATGTTGCTGATCACGAGGAGGACGATGACGAAGTACATGATCGCGCTCGCCGAAGACTGGTCCCAGGCGTCCCTGATGAGCTCGAGCGCACCTTCGGTAGATTGCTTCGCGACCTTCATCGTGCCCTCGAGGGTTTCGTACGCCCACTGCAGCCCGCGCTGGCTGCGTTCCAGCTCGCGCACCTTCAATTCGTCGCTGGCCTCCTTGTCTGCGCTTGTGAGCGCTGGCGATGCTGGGGCGGCGGCCTCTGCCTCTTCGACGTCCACTCCTTCAGGGATGAACTCGGACTGGTGTCTGTGGATGTAGTCCCGCATGGATCTCTCGAGCGCGACGTGGTACGTCTTCTGCCCATCGATAGCGGACTTTTCGACGATACCTGGAGGCTTCAGGTCGAAACCGCGCAGCAAACGACGTGCGGATAAAGCTTACCCTTGATGAAGCTCCGGCCTGTCCACTCAACCTGCGTGGTGATGATAACCTTCGTTGAGATGCTGCTGGCCCACATGATACACGTCCGTGTCTTCACAGAGAAGACACTACCGCTCGGCACCTCGGGTGTGCGCGTGGTCGTGACCATCGAGACGTACTCTTCGAATTCGCAGAACGCCATCTCGTCCCTCAGCTCGCATCTCGTCTGCCTGGGACCAATGCTAGCCGTCAGAGGCTTGATGTACGACATGTTCCTAGAGAGAAGTATCGCATTGCCGGGTAGGGGCTCCCAATCCGAAATCTGGATATCTGGGCGATTGTAAAGATGTCAGCAACAAGATGTCAGAACAGCGAAAACGCTCGCACCCATGAGCTTCTGCCCATCACGCATGAACTCTTTGATGAACCCGCTCGTGAACATGAGATTGTAGATCTTCTCTGGTGTCCCAGGGAACACTGTCTCCATCGCAGTTTCGGTATAGTGCTGTCCATTCTTCCCGTCCCACGCGATCGCGCCAGGCGTCTCTGAGCTACGCGCAGAGCGAGCCTTCGGACCGGGACTCTTTCGTCTCAGGTATCGAGGGCTCAGATGACGATGACGATGACGACCTAGACCTCGACGTGGACGACATACCAGTAACGGGCTTTGCGGTGGCGAGCGCAAGGAGAAACCAGGAGTTCCACGAGATGTTTCCGGCTGTGCCAGAGGGCGACTACCTGATTGAAGGTGCGTGCCGTAGTTATATGCGCCTGCAATGTCCGCCTTGAAGCCATCACGGCGTGCTGCAGGCGTGTACGGAGCGTTGTTGACTTCTTGTCTGCTTTATTGATCAGATTACGGCTGCGCACTTCAGCGCGAAATCCTCGTACAAGGCCGGATATACATTTCAGAAAATCATATCTGCTTCCATGCGAACCTCTTTGGCTGGGTTACCGATGTAAGAACACCCATTTTCACATCTTCGGGCCGAATGCTGAGTTCTTTCTGACGCTGCGCAGCTCACCATACCCATGTACGACGTGATTGCGCTCGACAAGCGTATGACGGCGTTTGTTATTCCGAACGCAATACAGGTCACAACACGCAACACCAAATACACGTTTACATCCTTCTTGTCTCGGGATACGACCTTTGACGTTATCTACAACGTATGGCGCCTCGCACGCCCAGACGACTCTGCCTCGCAGATCGCCAGCGGGCCAGGCTCTCTCGACCACAGCAACGGCAGTGAGGAGGGCGTGACCGGTGCCGTAAACGGCAAGGCTAAAGCTAAGCCGAACAAAGTGACGCAGTGTGCTTGCTGCGTACTCGGTCGATGGACGAGCGCGAACGATGCGAGTTCGACCGCTCGTCGCGAGCTATGATCTCAGCAGGAGTGATTTGGGGCATGGACACGACAGGATTCGCCATGGCGAGGCCAGAAGCAGCGATGGCACCGGCGAGGCCTGTGGTCTTACGCTTGGGTGACTTGGAGCTCGTGGTGCTTGCTGACGCTGGACCGGGACTGACAGGCGCGGACTCCTTCACCGACAGGCGCCGGAACATCCTGCGCTTCTTGCTAGTGCTGCCGACGGAGTAGATAGACGCCGCATCTGACTTGTCCGGGGCAGCAAGCAGGGACGAGTTAGGAAAAGAGGGAACGGTAGCACTTGTGGACAAGGTGTGTTTTGAGAGCCCGACGTCTGCAATCGCATTGCTTGAGCTAATCTTCGTGGGGGACTCCACAATGGGTGACATACCCGCGCCGCCGTTTTCAAGATGCCCAGACAAGTTCGGTGAAGTTGCGGGGCGCTCGTGCATGGACCGCGGTGGAGACGCAACACTCTTCCTGTCGCCCTTGACCTTGATCCGCATTCCGCTGCGATTAGACTTGTTCGACTTGTTCGATTTGAGCGAAGGCGTTCGCTGCAACTCTTGCTGTCGCTCGAAACCGGTGGCAACCGTAGCAGAACGGGGATGGTTCACTTGGCTGCCCTGCGATTGTTCACGCAGGTTCCCCGTGGAACTCGAGTGCGAAAGCGGGCGAAGAGTTGACTCGCGCTCAGACATTGCCGGACGGCTGGGTGTGGGTGTGACTGCGTCGTCTTCAACAGGGGACGGAGGTGGTAGAGGACTGCTGCTAAGCGAGAGGGCATGCTGTCGGCGGGGCTTCTTCGATCCCCCCTTTAAGTCCTCAAGCGACTGTCCATCTTTAGGCGTGCTCGAAGAGGAGGCGGACATGTCACTGTTACGCGGGGAAGGTGGGATGACCGTGACGTTGGGGTTAATAGACTCGTTGTCTGTGTCACTCTGCTTGCCGCTAAGCGACTTGGATGGTCTGTGGGTGCTCTGGCTAGCCCTTGAGACTGAGATTGTTGGATGGCGCTGCGATTGGGCTGGGGAGGTAGACGATGGTGAAGGGGACCGTGCTCCGTCGCGGTTCGCGCCCGACTTGACCAGTTTAGTGAAGAAGCTGGGCGCCATTACTTCTTGCGGACCGTCTCCGAAGACTGTGTCAGATTCATGTATCAGTATTTAGCACCATGGATGAAGTATCGCGCCGACGTACAAATCAATTCTAGCGGCTGTCACAGGTGTTGCCCAACGGACAAATCGGCTGTGAGTGGGGATGGATACGTCTATCCTCTGGTAGGGACAGCAACTAGTGAATACGACGCCAGAATCTGGACAGATATCAACGACGAACTGCGATGGAAATCCGATGATGTTGTAGGATGTAGACGTACCACGCTTCAGACGTTTACGTCTTACAAACAGCCCTACTGCTACTGCGCGTTACTATAGCCACCTCCTGGAAATGCGCACGCGACTTGAGCTATCTTCGTGTTGAGAACGGTAGAGGTAGATAGTGGTTCGGTGAAAAGAGCCAAAGCCTCCAGATGAGCTGTTGAGAAGGAGTTCGCACGGCGTGGAATTAGGTTCGAGAATCAGGAACGAGGCAGGCAGTCGGAGCGGATGACGAGGTGTCGCGATGACTTCGGTTCGGGAAGGCGCAAATATGACTTTAATGCTTGTGAATGAGGGAATTCAGTCGGTAAGGTATCAAGGAAATGAGAGAGGATATGAAGAAAGTAGGCTGCTCGGACTAGGGCGCGAGCGGAGGGAAGGTTGCTGCAACAGCCCGACGTCTATCCAGACGGCGCATCGTCATGGGCGCTTGAGCGATCAATCAGGACGCCCGAAGCATTCCTCAGCACTTCTAGACACCGCCGGCTTTCATATAGCATAAGAGGCCGTATGACGACGTCTACAAGAAACTCTATTAATTACAGCATAGAGCTCTAAAAGCTCTGTCTAATGCTCCATATTTTGTGCTGTACAGAGCGTTTTGAGCGGGGTCTGTCGGAGGCATAACGGTGCCGAGCCGCCGGACAACATTAATATTGCGGCGGCCGCAGAGTGAGCGACTTAGACGACGCTCTCGCTTTACGTCTGTGTATGCACATGTACACAGCTGGCTGTGAGCCAGCTCTTCGAGAGACACCATTCAAGTAGCCATATTGCTAGCCGCAGCCTAAGGCGAGAGATGTTTTCTAGTGCTCGTCACACGGCCACAAACACGATTGGCCCATGCGTCTGTCACCTCCGACCGTCGTGCGCATCGAAGGCTTGGCCAAAATACAGTAGACTAGAGCGGAACGCTAGTACTTACTAAAAGCAGTTCCCGTACCTATGCACGGAGACATCACAAGTACCCGAACATTCTGCGTCACCCCCTGCTCGCCCTGCTGCAATTACCGAAATTCCCGTGAGCTTGTGTGATTATCGGGTGCCTGCACATAGCGAACATACATACGATCGTAAAATGTAAATCTACCTACCAACGTCCTGGCGGCGTGTCCCTGGCAGATGGCTCTTGCTTTTGTTTTTTTGGGTTGTCCGGAGTACACAGTGCCGAATCTACGGACCCTGACAAATATGCCACCGGGGTGTGGTCCATGCGGGGTAACAGGAGCTTGATCAGACCATATATGCTTGATCTCCGTAAGAGCTCTTCGGGCTGTCTACCGAGCGCGGAGGCCCATCCAGGGTCGGGCCTGTGAGCAAACAGCCGCGAGTGATGTTCTGGGAAGGCACGGGTGATGATGTACGTACGCAGAACCCTTCTCGCAGCACGGGGTAGAAAAGAGGTGGTCAACGGAGAGAGGCCGGCTCGCGTTCGAATGCGGTTCCTGCCACACGCGGTCTTTGAATCTGATTCGCACCGCCATCTCGGCGTCCAGTGCATCGTGATTCTGCAAGTGCTAGCGCACGAAAGACAGTCGGAAAAACAAGTGTTGCGGGCGTGCACAAAATCCTGAATTTCGACAGGGCGGGTATCAGCACAGGAGCACGCGCGAGTGTTTTCACCGGCACCGACAGTGAAGAGGACATGCTGCGAGACGACGAGGTTGGGCTTGGAAATTGACGTACAGCTCGCAAGACAGATATATCATTCAATGCGTGGGGAATGCTCTCGCTTACGGCTGACGCACTCTTACGCACCCTCAAAAGCAACAGCGACCGTCCGTGGCCAGGCTCTCGAAGTCCCCCATGGCGATGCTCTGCCAGCTCCCCTTCACCATCCTCGAGCACATCGGCCTCGAAGTTGCCGTTATCGACCCGCTAGGCCCTCCCAATGACCTCGTTTCCCTCCTTTGCACTTGCAGACACATTTACAACTCACTCTCTTTCGATGACAACCGCCACCTCTATGCTCGCATCTTCCGGTCGATGTTCGACACCCGTGCAGTGGCCAGACGCTTTGGCAACCGTTGCAGCCGCCTCAACAACGTCGCACAGCAGCTCAAGGTTTATTGCGCAACCCTTCGGCGTATACGTAGGGGCGACACCGCGGCCGACTCTAAGGTGATCATGGCCGACCTGTGGACGGTGCTGCTCATGATGCTCGAGAACGACGGCAAGAACGAAGCCCAGCTCGAGTGGGCCGGCTTGAAGGATTTTGTCGATCGATTCGTGCGCACGAGGCTGTACGACAACAGCGACCAGACGTCCGGGTGGCCACCAGAGAGTGAACTGAATGCACTTGCGCTGTGGTTGATGTGGTTGACAACAGACGAAGGTGTGTACTTATCTCCAGAAGTATCTTCGGATTGGTCTCATAGCTCGCACATACAGTCACTCTCCGGGAAGAGACCGCCGAGGCCCGCAGACAACTGATGGAACTCGTCAGACCTTACGTCGTGCTCCCTATTCGTTATCCAGCGTTCTGGCAGCCTGACTATCACTTTGAGTTTCCCATCCCTGACGGCCGTCCACTGTACCACGCCATAACCCCCCACGGTTTTTACCCACCGTACCGCAATCCAGAGCAACTCGGACACATGCATCAACACCATGGTCTCCGATTCCGAGCCTCTGTCCCTCCCATTTCCATTGCTGCAAAGCTGCTATACTTCGCTCGCTCGGAGGCAACGCCCTTCCAAGTCCCCAACACCCTTCCTGCCAATCGCGAAGAAGCTCTCGCGCGGGGCATAACGCACACTATGCCCACGCAGGAGGACTACCGGCGGTTCAACGAGCACAAGGCAGCGGCACCGATCAAGCCGGCGTCATGGGACTGGTACAGCTCGTTGAACGACGGCGATGCGCGGCAGGAGGACGACGGCGTGTGGAAGAAGACGCTTAAGTCGAAGAGCGCAAAGTGGGACCACGATTGGTACAGGATGCTATACTGCTTCGATCCGTGGTACGTTTCGGAGATTAAATCCCTTCTGTATATGAAGGGCACGCTCGATGGGGACTGGATGGGCCGGATGCTGGTGCGTTCCTCCCACTCGGACCCGCGTCCATGCTCACCTTGACGAACAGTTGCCCGAAAGTCGCCAATACTGGGACATCTACATGGGCTCCACCTTCGAGCCCCAGAAACCAACGATGACCACTGTACCTATCTCGTTCCGTCTACGTGAATACCATAGCGTCAGTCCCAAGACCCCAATACAGAGGGGTGGGCCGCCAAAGGAACAGCCTGAGGATCTCTTCAACGACGGCATAATGCGTGCGTGGGTTCCGGACGGGTGGGAGCTCCGCGAGATGAGCGGCAGTGTACGCCCACACGATGCAAATGGGCTGCAGATCCGCGGTTGTGAGTACGCTCGGTGGCAAGAAGGCCAGGCCAGTGGACACAATCCGACGACGTGTAAGATGTGCATCAAAAGGGACGAAGAGGCACGGCGAGCAGAGAGTGCGAGGGAGAAGAAGCGTAAAAGCCCAAGCGACATGGACGACAGCGGGGACGGCGGCATGCCCACAGAGGACGACGCTGAAGATCGAGGCGAAGGCAGGGCTCGCCCCAAACGTGCTCGAGCTCGGAGCCCGTCTGCACGCCGGAACGAGCCTGTCGCCGTCGAGCCCGTCACCGCCGCGGATGCCGACGCAGGACCTGCCGATCTTGCAGGAGGCATCGACATATCGGGCGCACAGATACAAGGGCATCGTGCAGAGCTGCAGGACATCGTTGGCCCCAGCGTCCTGGTCGACGATCTGATCGACGCTGAGATGAAGGACTCCGCTGCGTCTGTGCCATGTGACGGGGTGCAGGATATCATTCTCGTGGGCGAGGTATGTGCCCCATCCCACCACTCTCGCGCGTACTCATCTCTCCGCAGACTCTCCCCGAGCACGGCCAGGCGTGGCACCACTACCGCTTCTACGGCAGAGTGCGCAAGTACGACGGGCTCGTCGCCATCGTCCGCTTCCCCACGTTCATCCCTGAGCTCGGCACGACCATCTTCCGCGGATACCTCATCGGGAACCAGCACTTCGTCGGTAACTGGCGTGCTGTGACTACCAACTGGAATGCGACACCGCTCGAAGGCCCGTTCATTGTGAGCCGTGCAAGCGACACCGAGTAATGCTCACCAAGACTACATACCCGTGTGGCGCTCTCCCTCGAGTCCGCATTTTTCTCTGTATCATTAGCCGTGTCAGTGATCTGTCTTGACTACTAAAAACCTGGATATGTCTCTCACCTCTACGTCCCCATCTTACGTCTCACATATGAAGGGCTAGATCCGGACAGCACACCTCGAACACTCTGGACACTCGTTTGCAAGAGCGTTCCCCTTCCGAAACTAAGCACACGCTTGCTCGAGAGCCCAGTAGCAGCTATGTTATATCGCATCTATTAGTGTCTTCTCATGTTTTCTCGCAGATCGAGGCTCGGTATCGTAGTATTGTGTTGTTTGCTTTGTCTTGCTTTCGCTATGCGCAACTGTGCAGATGTATTAGTAGTAAGTCAACGTCGTTAGACTTAATATTTGTATTTGTCCTCGCTATGGCTGTAATTTGAGGTGCCCGCGGTCGCACACCTGCCCTAAACCCGCGCGTTAAAATCTGCTGCGGAAGTGTTCGGCGACTTGGTCTTGTCCAAATTTTCGTCCTCTGCAATGTGCATCGGTGCTTGCCGTTACATCCGTCCACCCCCATGGTCAGAACTAGGTTCGATCTGCTGAACATATGGAGGTACTTTCAGCATCCGACAAGCGTGAGCTCCGCCGAACATGGCATCCCATGTGCTCAAGTCAAGAAGCGGCGCAAACACTCCTACGCGCTGTCTCTGTTACAGTCATGGAAGAGGAACGCGACTCGCTTGTCCTGCCATCGGGCCCCGTTATGGGGTCCAGTGGGTCACGGGGTAGTGGGTTCGTATCGTCTCAGTAGAGTTGAGTGCAGCCCATGTCTCTTCTGGCATCTCATCCGTGGCTATGCTCGTAGTTTTGAGGCATACATCTTCCGTGTTGTCGTGTCTATTCTTGCAATACAGTTACGTTGTTACTCAAGCAGTCCTAGTACGAAAGCCTGGATTCGGAGCGTGCAAAGAAAAAGCGAAGAAGATGCGACAAGTGGTAATTAAAGCAAGTCGAGAGCCTGAAGGGTCACCTTCGCAAAGTAATACTAAACCCGCTCCTTGTACCTGCTTTCGACAGGGCGTGTACACCAGCTACACGTATCCTTCTTCAGACAGACGTCCTTCCAATCCTCGAGAACTGCGAGCGGGTGTGTCATGGGATGCACGCTTTGAGGTCCAAGCGGATAGCGGAAATCTTTCCAACAGGTGTTCGCGTGTTGAGAGGGAAAGCATTCGTCCAAAGGGTCTCCAAATAAAATGCTGTTTGCGGTCACTTTGGCGAGAAGAACATCATGAAGCTGTTCGTGCGTGCCGTCTGGTAAAGTAGCCCCATTGTTGACGTTCTGGTAGCAGGCATAGAGCGCGAGGGCGAGTACACTCTTCAGGCCGACATCATGTACCGAGAGAGATGGGACAGACCGGGTTCCAAAGCACCGGCGTAGCCTCATCGGATCGTTCCTGCCTGGGTCCTCCGTGGTCGCCTATGTCGGCCTTTCCTGCGATATCACCGTCCTCGAGACCCTTCCCGATCCCTGCAATCTCTGAACGGCACTCTAGGATGCGAGTAATAGCGTCCTTCGCGATAGCTTTCGCGCCGTACTTGTAGCCGAGCTTGATAATTGTAAGGATGATGTCTATGCTCAAAGGCGTGCGACCAACTGGGGCCCTAGAAATTCTTTGAGCCGAGTATATGCATATCTTACGGCTTCTGGAGCTTGTCTCATATATAGCGCGCAGGAAATATTCCACCTCGTCTGGACGGTCCTGTAGCTTCACAGCGAACCGCGACGCACACCCTAGGTCGCATAACACAGTAACCTCAAGATTCGGTGCCCCTCGAGGGAATCCAAGCACGAGCTCGCGTTTGAAAGTCTTCGAGAAATACGAGAGAACTGCGATGTGCAAGTTGAATAGCTTTTTCTCGGTAGGAGAGACAGTCCACAGAGATCGCCATCTGGAAACCAGAGCCGCTCGCAAATAGCAACGTTGTCATCATCCGGTTTGATATCAACCGAGATGCGTAGACTGAAGTCGAGTCGGGAGATGGCGCCAGCTGAGGACAAGGGTAGGAGAGCGCAGGGCAGACGCCGGCTCGATAGATCCTGCCGAAGTCGCTACCCTATGGTCAGCTGGAGAGTTTGTAGCAGCGCCAGCCGGTCCAATGGCTTCGGTCATCAGATGCTTAGGCTGACGGATCATCTCAGAGCCGTCAGACTCGAAGTTTGAGCGATCCCGTTTCCCCAAGGACAAGACGGAGTTCATGTCGGGCTAGTAGTCCACAGGCGGTGTTCTTCGATGAGATTGGGGTGGGGAGAGAGAGAGAGATAACGCACTATTTCTGTGAATAGCTGAACGTTATATATCTATCGCTCGACAGCGTGAATGGAAGTGTTGAGGGAAGGGCGCATGACGTCACCGACTATCGAGGCGTAGTACGGGTAAAGGCGTCTAGCCAACCATGGACCTCAGGCCAGTAGTGAGCGGAACAGTTAGCTCCTACATATTATGTCCTTGTACTTTCTTTTATTATTATCAGAGACTTTCGGCTACGCAGGTCACGCATACGATACTTGGGAAGGTCATGAGCGGTGAGCTGCAACGTTAGCAAGGCAGCCATTCTCGAACGTCTGCAGCATAGAAGCTTTCAGCGCACCTTTGCTTCGATGTGACAGATACAGTTGAGACGTGCTCAGCTGGGGAGGCCATTCGTGGCTAGCTCCCAACGCGGCAACTCTGGCACGATCAACAAACGATAAGCACGGTGCATCTGCACTCTACAGAGCATGCAACACACCTAATTATCTCAGGGACTTCTTAAGGCCAAGTACCAGCCTTCTTGAAGCGATACATGGTGTAATCGTTGTAGCTTGAGAGTAGACAACGAAGTCTGGTCCGTTCTTCGGTCAATGAGCATGTCCTGACGTCGGTGCTGTGTGCATCTTGCCGGACGTAGGATTGCGACATCGATTACATGATGAGGTAAGCGTCTTACAGTTACATGCACGTTGCACCCCGAGTGGCATGACACCTAGGACAAATCGCGAGAATTCCGGGCAGGCGTAGAGCGGTTGAATGTTCTTGGTCATTGCGCCCTGCGCCGACACTGTAGATAGGCAGATAGACAGTGAACACATATGCGTTGCTGAGTACACTGCCTGACATGACGAGCAGCGGCCTTGAGATGTGATGTAAGGATTTGTCACCAGGTCACTCGCGTTGGCCTTTCACGTGACGACATTACTGAGATAATGGAACGGCCCGCAGCCGTATCAGCGTATACGGTTTGCTCGCGAGCTATATAAGCCCATATACCTCTACATCTGAACTTCCCAGAATCCGACAGAGTACGCAATCGAACCTCCCCTTCCACCCACAGCTCTTCACGAAACACATAATGAGTGTCACGGCAGTCAACAGTCTTGCCCAGTTCCATGAGCTCGTACGTCGCTACGTATTGACTGCTAGCACTAAGCGGCTGCTGACAGGTCGATATCTTGTAGATCAACGGGGATAAACCTGTCGTCTTCGACTTCTGGGCGACGTGGTGTGGCCCGTGCAAGGTCATCAGCCCCATTTTCGAGAAACTGTCCGAGCAGTTCCCCCACATCGACTTCTACAAAGTAGACGTCGATCAGCAGCCTGAGATCAGTCAAGAAGCTGGCGTGCGTGCAGTATGTATCACTTGATCTTGCAAACCGAGGACCGCAGGCTGATTATGAGCTATAGATGCCGACATTCTATCTCTTTAGGAATGGGCAGAAGGTCAAGGAACTTGTCGGCGCAAACCCGCAAAGTCTCCAGGTATGATGTTCTTCCACATGTGCTTGATGATCAGCTGTCCTAACGAAATGGTCCTGTAGCAACTCCTGGCGTCCGCGGCGTGAAATGCAGCTGGTCGCCTCGTCTAGATTTGTACACCCCGTCCTCTGTATTGTGAACATGTCCTGTACTTATACCACGCTGTATAACCAAATAATGCGAACTATGACCTCCTGTACATGCATCAATGGTGTGTAGCTTGTGCGCACGTCAAGTCGGCTTCACGCGCTCTTTGTCCGGCCGTTCCGAGCAATACTTAAGGGCGCACCCATACTCACGCCCATGTCACCGTGGTTACAGAAGAAGCCGCGGTGGTCTTACCTTCAACGTCATCCCAGACTATAGTATTCCAGTCGAGTGAATTGTTGTAGGGGCCAAGGCGTTGCCTAAGGTGGAGAATCTTCGAGCGTGCCGAGCAGCTGCATGATTCGGACGCCTCCGTGCGGGCAATACGCGGGAAATTATTAATCGAGTGTCAACACAGCCCCTACCAGTGAATGATGGGTCTGCCCTGGTCTGCCATGGTGGAGAAACAGCACGATAATGCTCCTAGTGCCATTTTCCAGATAGCAAAGTGTAGTTCGGGAATACGGGAGCGCAGTGGACCTGGAAAGCCTAAAGGCGGGATCGACAGCAAAGCGTTGGACGCCGAATATAGCTCGGTGTTTGCCTTTGATTTGGCGCTAAATATGGCAACCGTCGGGGTGCGTCCAGAGCATGGGCTGCAGCGGGGGCGTTCTATCCTCCTCCTTTACCTTTTCTCTCTTATTCTCCGACCACCATCTACCCCTTCTCTCTCCCTGTCCGCAGGCGCAACAGGCTGGTGCGGTGTACCGCTCGTCTACATCACGCACGTGCTGCTGTCGTCAGAGAATTCCACACCTTCCGGTAAGGACGCCAGTCGACGGTTTATCTATCCATTCACCATTCTGACTTCAAATCTCCGTCAAGACGCCTGAGAATCTGTCTGCCAGCCTCCTTGCAGCTTGCCTGCAGGTCTCTCACCTCCACCCCCGATGGCACTGCTCGGCCTCTTCTCCAAGCGCGACAAGAAAGACAAGGCCTCCAGTAAGTCGAGCGGGGCTTCCCAGGCCGACGCCTCGTCGCTTGCAGAGACATCCGAGTACGTGCTACCAGACAGAAGCGTCCCCGCGGTACCAAACCTGGTCTACGGAAATGGCTCAGCTGAAGCCTCGTCCAGCAAGTTTCTTCTCGGCTTCCGCAAAAGATCGACTCCAGCGTCCGAAGTGGCCGAGCCCGACTTTCTGCGCCCACCGCATATGGTCATTTCACCTAACTCGCGCTCAGAAGCCAGCCTCGACGAAGTTCGCCCGCCCCCAACGAAGGTCAGCTTGTTCGGTGACCCGAAGCACACGCTCTCCACTCGGTCGCTCCCCAACCAAAGCGATCCGCCGTCGATCGCACAGGAGGTGCGCGACGGTGCTGAACCCCCCTCAGCGCCCAAGAAGCAGGGCGGACTATTCTCGTGGGCAAACAAGGAGCGTAAGAAGTCAAAGCCGAGCGATAACCCTCCTTTGCTCAGCGTGGACGTGAGCTCGGAATCATTCAACCTCAAGTCGTTCCGGCATGTACGTCCCGAGAGTCCTCCCCCTGACTCCTCTTTAGCAGGGTCGCCATCCTTGCCTCCTCCAGTCATACCACGCCCCAGGGGAAACAGCGTCGCTTCAGACTCGTCACAAAGGATCTCTGTTGCTGCATTCCGCGAGATGGCCGCACGGCGGAGCGCTGCGAACTCCCCAACGTCTTCTCCTATTTTGCTCCGACCACCATCGCGATCCGACTCGTTAGTGAACGCCCAGCTGCGCCCCATAGCATCCTTCCAGCGGGCCCCTGTCGCGCAACGCGGTTCTACGCTTGCTCTGGCCAACAGCGACTCGTCGTCCGAATCAGAAGACCCGGGCGAATCGGAGTCCGAGGAGTCTGCTGGCTCGTCGACTATGCGGCCCAAGCGACAACGTACCATCACACAGAAGGCGCGGGGGCGTGCCTCGACCGAGCTCGGACACCTTAGTCGCCCCGGGAATGTCACGATGCCATCGTCATCGAAATCGGCGCTGGGTCACGGAGAAGATGTCTCGGACAGTGGTCAATCGCAGCGACCACCAAGCGGCGGGTTCTTTAGGAGTAGAGCTAGCAAGTCGGCTTCTGCTGTGCAACCCAACGCAGCTGCAAGGCGTGCATCGCAAAGGGCAACCGACAAGGGAAAGCAGAAGCAGACAGCGGCAGCACCTGCTCCTGTTTCACAACAGCAGATACCCGCCAAGGTATCCGGTGCGTACGTCGATCTAGCAATCATGACTTGCTACTAACACGTCCTCTCAGACCGTACCCGTAGCAAATCTAGAGCAAGAGATAGCGACTCTAACGATTCTGACTCTTCCTCTGATGATTCTGATGACGCTCCACTTGCTACATTCATGCGCCCATCTCGCCCTGGAAGCGCTGCTTCGAATGCCTCGAGATCTCGCACGCCAGTCAGGCCCCTCATAGATATCTCTACGCTCGGTGCGGCACCTCCGCCACTCCCATCGTTGCCTCGCTCCGAGAGGCCGTCTCCCGTCCCTAATGTACCGGAGAAGTCAACGTCTCCCCCAGTGCCGGATAAAGATACTTCCCCGAACTCCTCCGATTCCATGAGCAGCTCACGTCCGACACATGAAGCCAAGCCTAGTCTCAGTGATAGACTCGCTCGCATTGCGCAGGGTGCTGGCGCGAAGTCTGTAGAGCAACTTGCAGCAGCACCTCCAATAGAACGACGATCTCTCGATGCAAAGCCGACCCTCGCGATGGAGAACAACGAACAGGGACGTCATCCTCAACTTGCTCGTAGCCAGACCGTGCCACTGAGCCCCTCCGACGACTACAATGACTCGCCGTCGCCGTCGCCATCTGCATCTAGGCCAAGACCGGCTCTGAACGCTGCTGCGGCATATGATCTCACGGACCCGAAGCCCATTATACCTACCCCTATACGCGAGCGCTCCCCGCCACCTGCTTTTGCTGTCACATCGCGTCCTCCCTCGCAACTTTCCTTGAACAGGCTGTCTAACTCGCAAGCAACTGTAAAGTTATTGAACTCTCCTTCATCTAGTCCTACAACGTCTTCGTACATTGGCGACTCTCCTTCGTCACCCTCGGCTTCCTCTGTCCTTACAGATTCTCCTATCTCCACAAACAAGCCTTCTCCGTTTGCCTCCACAACGCGTATCAAAACTTCTCTTCCACCTACCCCATCCACTTCAGCGTCGGCTCGTCCTTCCCCAGGTGGTCGCCAGCGCTCGTCTACCCTTGTCCCTCGAAGCACTTTCGAGGCCTCGGCAGGCTTCACAGGTGGTGGACTCCTCGCAAGTCCAGCTGCCGAGCCCGCTAGCACTAAGACTGGTAGCAGTGCACCTAAACAGTCACAGCTACCCTCTGCTACACGAGTTGGTCGTGCACGGTCGTCCACCATGCTTCCACAGATAGACGTTTCACCTGCGTCACGGGTGGAGATAGAGAGTATAGCAGGCGGTAGTGGAAGCAGCCGTATGCACCCGTCGGCCAGCCCGGCATCGGCGGCAGCATCTACCGCATCTTCGTCTCCCAGTCACCAGCAGACCACTCCGCATAGGTTCCCTCAGCGACCACGTGTACCTTTCAGCAGCCCAACATCGTCTTCTGGATCGATGTCTCCCTTGCAGCAGCCGTCGAAGCCATTTGCGGTATCTGGAAGGGGTAACAGCCCTGCAAGCTCGACGGGTGATTCAAGTAGTGGCCGGACGCCGCTTACACCTGCGGACGGAAGCGATCTTGGCATCGGCGAAAGTCGGAGCGCCATCAGTGCACGCAATGGACGTAGGCGAGGGCCAAGCGTCACATTCGAGGACGAAGAAAAGGAGCGCGGACGGGCCGGATCTAAAGTTGCTAACGTTGAAGAGAGGCGCAAGGAGAGGCGCCGCAGCGAAGCGAAGGCCGCCATCGAGGTAGGTTGCGCTACAGCCGTGATATTGGGACTGTTAAAGATTGACGACTATTGCCGCAGCTTGGGAAGGTCTTCAATGGCCAGATCACCCTCCAGGACGATGACGAGGAGGATATGCCTCTCAACGGTCTGGGACCGCGCATGAACACGGCAGCCAATCCGATGATGAGCTTGACTCCCCCGACGCCGGTAACTCCCTGGGGCCCTGCACCTGGTTCGTCAGCGATGGGTACCCCGCCATTCCTCATGCCACCACCAAACGCAGACCCCAGCTTCCTTGCCGCACACCAGCATGCGATGATGATTGCGAAACAGGCATACCAGATGGCGGTCGCTCAACAGGCGTTAGCGGCTGCGAACGAGGAGTGGGAGCGCGGCTCGAGCGTAAGCGCGTTCGGGGGCATGAGCATGGCCGGTAACATCCCCGGTATGAACCCGATGGCAGGCATGGGCATGCCGAGCATGATGCCCGGTGGGTTTGGGATGGGTTACAACCCGATGATGTTTTCGAGCACACAGACGATGTATGCGGGGAGCACAGCCGGGAGCGAGCTCGGCGTCGGCTGGGGCACGCGGAGCGAATATGGCGGGCCAGCGCGGAACAGCCGCACGTCCGCCATGTTCAACAGTCGTCAGTCGGCGTACGGTTTTACCGCGGGCCAGCGGTCGGAGTCGTCGGGCAACCTCGCTGCATCCTCTCAATCACGTCCCACGGGGAGGCCACGGACGAAGACGTCGCCGGCTGACTCCCCCCTGCCTCGCGATTACGCAAAGAATCGCCAGGGACCGCCACCCTCAAGCTTCAGACCCCTCTAACTTATCGGATAATGACATTTTGCGTAAAGTAGCGACGCTGTCTTTCCCTTCCGTGACAGAACCACACGTCTCGCTTTCGACTAATTACACGCTGCATGTTTGAACTTGTTCAAGGCTGCTTACTTCCTTGGCACCCGCATCCTTTCATTAGTCCCCTCTTTCATGGAATTTCACCCCTGCTATTTGCTATCTGACATCTGCCTCCATAACGCATATTCTTCCTCTCTTTATGTATACCGTCCAATAATTACCATCACAGTATTCATCTTGGCTCGTCTAGGATGCTGTTGGAGAAGGTACTGCCCTGTGATAGCCTTTCGGTGTCCGGATCCACTGGTTTGTGAAAAGATTGCGGCCTGGGCCAATTGCTGCGTAGAGATTACGTTCAGGCTGCTTACGCGAAGATCTCAGCCGGCCGTGAGCTTTTCAGCCGTAGAACTATGCGATGGGCACATGGGGCGGCGAGGTCATGGCCAGGCACTTCGTGTGACATCGCCGCCACCGAGCCGCTTACCCCGACTTCATTCGCCGCCGTCATTCTGCCACCGCCATCTCCCGTATCCACGCCCGCTGCACATCCCCCAGCTGCTCACGCAGGCCTTCCAAGCGTCGACGCGACCAGCTGCACAGCATCGTTTGGCATCTGAACCTCCGCAGACGCAGAGATGGTCCGTGCACATGTGAAGCAGACGGTGAGGCGGACTTCAGCCACAGCGCCACAAACAAGGGGTGGCTGATGACGCGTCCCTCGCCGTTTTGGCACAGGAGGACAAGAAGGAGGCCCCAGCCAGGTCGTCGCCGCCCACGGCGTCGTCATCGTCCTCATCGGCGGCCAAGAAGAAGGCGGCGACGGACTCGACGACGTGGCCGTGCAAAATCGACGGGTGCAACAAGGTGTTCGCGCGCGAGGCGGATTTGAAGCGGCACCAGCGGACGACCAAGTCGCACTGCGTGCCCGCCTTGTGCGTCCTCCCGTCTCCTGGACCGATCTCTGACGGAAGCAAAATAATTGTCGCAGCTCGTGTCCGCAATGTGATGCCAACTTTACGAGGGTACGTCTGTTCCGCAGATCGCCAGGCGCGTCTCACGTCGCGAACCTTGTCCCTGCAGACCGATGCCCTGCGACGGCATCAGAAGTCGAGGAAAGTGCACATACGAGCGTCATAGAGCGACAACTGAGGGCGTTATTACAGACATAATGGCGTGGTGATTGACCCGCCAAGCATCCCCAAGGCGAGATCGACTCGCCAGAAGGCGGAAAGCTCAACACCAGCCACCCGATCCACGTCTACGAGTGCGAGTGAACCTCCGTCCGCTGAAGAGGTCCCTCCAAGTAACACACAAGATGAGCCAGCTGCGCTTGCGCCTCAAGCTCCTCGGGGAAACTATTACAGACAACATACCATGCTCCCGAGTGCGTCCATTTCTCTATTCCACGATACAGCTCTTCACGAGTGTACAGGCTACGGCGGAGGCACGAGCCCTCCCCAGTCCTCCAAATCCACAACCTCCGAATCAACCCCTTCACCCAAGAAACCCGCCGCGCCGCCGGGCACCTCACCAGCCGTCCCTTCCTCCCCGCCCACGACGGGACTGTACCCCGTGCTCCCGCCGTACGCCTACCCAGGCGCGCCGCCAGGCCTCATCTACGCCGTCCCCCACTACTACCAGCCGCCGCCGTACTACAGGCCCGCGGGCGCACACGTGCTCCCGCACGTCGCGCCGTACCCGTACCCGCCGCCGCACGTCCCGCCCGAGTACCTTGCGCACTACCCGACGTACGTGTATCCGTACCCGCCGCCCCCGGGCGCTGCGAGGGCGTCTGGCGCGGTGGGCGAGAGCGTCTCGGCCGTGGGCGCGGGGCGCGGGGATGCAGAGCCAGAGGAGGCTGATGAGGGCGGTGATGAGAGCGGCGAGTCAGGTGAGGACGCGGAGGGGGATGCGGAGGCGGAGGGTATCACTGCGAGCGATGAGGGCGCTTCGGAGCCGCAGATGTTACGTGAGGACGAGCCAGGCAGCTTGCACGGGTCTCCTCGCGCGCAGGATGAGGGTGCAGGCGGGCATGTAGAGCCAATGGACGTCGAGCCTGAGAGCGAAGCTCCCACTTCCGTTGAGCCAGCCGACGAAGGAACGGAGTCGCTACGGGGCCAGGAGACTGGCAACATGAGTCCTGATTTTGCTCATACAGAGCCCACGCTAGAGATCGCGCCTGGTAAGCACCCTCGCCAGCTGACCACGGTTATCGGTACGCTCATACAGCCCCAGCCGAATTAATGCTATCCTCCTCATGACAGGCATCTGGGAAGACGTAATCAGCTTCCCACATTTCATTACCGTTGACTGCTCGGACATCTTGTATCACGCCAGCGTGAGACACCGCACATCTAATGGACTGCATATTTGTACACTACAATTTAGCTAAAGCACACTTTCGAACCATGGGGTATTCTGCCTTGAGTTACCGATCATGAGATAGGAGCAACGGAACGTATGCACTATTGATACATGCTGAGGAGAGCAGCGGCTTGGGGAGTTGTGGTTGAACACCGGGTGACATGCTGTTGAGAGCGGTTCATGATAGCGTCTAGATTACAAGATGTTGACCTTGGGCCACTTGTACTGGGGGCCGATCTGCAAAGCGCGCTGCGGCGTGAGAGGCATGCAAAAGCGGTTGGGAGAAGACGATCAAAGCGCACCTGCTGGACACACATCGAGCCGAGCTTGTGGCCGGCGTCGACGCATTCGCTGAGGGCCTTGCCTGCGACGTACGCGCCGAGGAAGCCGCCCGCGAAGGCGTCGCCGGCCCCGTTCGTGTCGACGATCTCCGCGTCCGAGAGCGCGAGCACGGGGACGACCAGCGCGTTCTCCGCGTCGTCCGAGCTCACGACCGTCGTCGCCTTCGGGCCGTGCGTGATGATGACGACGCGCGGGCGCGCGGGGTTCGCCTTGGGCTGCGTCGCGAGCGCCTTCGCGATCGCGTCGAGGTCCTTGTGCGGGAGGCCGGTCGCGCTCGCCCACGACTCGGCCTCGGACTCGTTGCAGATGATGATGTCGCAGTAGGGGATGATCTGCTGGAGCTGGACACCGAAAAACTGCGGGATGAAGGGCGCGGAGAGGTTGAGGACGAAGATCTTGGACGCCTCGGACGCCTTCTTGCTGAGCTCGAGCGCAATCTCACTGCCATGCGTGAGGAAGTAGCCTTCGAGGTAGAAGACCTTGGCGGCCTCGACAAGTGGGGCAACCTCCGGAGAAGAGAGGTGGGACGACTCGAACTTCTCTGCTGCGCGTAGCGTGGTAACGAGGGAACTGCAATAATGTGAGGTTGGCACTGAGACGCATATCAGAGAGCCATATACCGGTTATGACCAGTGATAATGACACCGCAAGCACCAGTCTTGTCGCCCTTCCTGACGAGGTAGGCGTCGGTAAGGCCTTCACGGCGGTTGGCAGCACGGAGTTGCTCTGCAAGGTCATCGTCGCCGACGCAGCCGGTGTAAACGACAGAGTTGGGAGGAAGGACATACTACAAAATATTCATAAGCGACTGAGCACGGCGCTCAACTGAGACTAGTAACTCACGGCGGCTCCGCGCGCAGCGTTCTGGGCGGCACCTCCTGCGACGTAGGTGACCTGGTGGTTCTTCACAAGGTCGTCATACCTGATCAAGCCAGCATAAATATGTTTTTTACGGAGGCAGGTATCGGACATATGCTCACAAGGATGCGTGCTTCTCCTCGGCGAGAATGGCATCGTTGGCTTTGAGGTCATACTTTTTCAGGAGCTCTTCACCGTTGAAGACTTGGATGTCGAGCAGAGGGTTGCCCATGCAGAAGAGCGGGTACGTTGGGGACGACATGCTGGTTTCGTAAATGAGTGGATAAGTACCAAACTCCGGAGCTTTCGGGGTGAAGAGGATGGGTGAGGGTGAGAGTCGTGAAGCAAAATCGCGCGCTTGAGATAACGATGATTCAGATTGCTCCCGTGGGGGAGCCGCGCAACAGCTTCTTTCACGAGCGTATCCGCCTTGAACGCGCGCCCCAGACTCAGCATGCCTAGGATCGCGTCCATGTCCAACGAAATGGAACGGGTAAAGTACCTAGTGATCGTTGTGGTCAATGATGCAATATCCTGTCCCCGGATCCTTTGAACGGGACCCTACTGGTGCTCGTAGATGGCTCGGAGGAAGTGTTCGAACTCGCAGATACGACGAACCGTCACGTCGAGCACATAAGCCGGGCCGGTGCCGACGTAACTGGGGCTGAGCTCGACGTTGTCAAACAGTGGGTTCGAGACGAGGTCGCCACTGAATGCACCTGCATAACGGGAGAGCAGCGTAAGGTGCACGCGAAAGACGGTGACACCAGCAGGCGATGTGCAACGAATGAGTGCGTTTCCATCAGAGTACCAGACGTGCTTGGAGCGGGAGTAGTTGACTGCGTTCCTATAAGTTGGCAAAACCATCGTGTGCGGGATCATGCTAAAATCTCCGGGTGGAGTGTTAGACGGTAGAGTCTGGGACGTTCTGGAGCCTGTGCCCTCAAAAGAGGCTGGTCGAGGACGTTTCCTAGATGCAGGTGGAGGGACGTTCATGGATGAGAATCGGCGTGGAGGTCATAAGAGAAAGAGTCGAGAGAGACTCAGCGCATACATGAGCCTTGCACTGACAGTACAAATGGATGCGTCCTCTCTCCTTCATGACATCAGCTTATATGGAGGCGTAGCTCATCTCCCTGGCATGCCTAGCTCTTGCTCGACGTGCAGAGTTAGCTGTCCTAGTACCGCATATACAGTACTTGACATAACTCATGCACTTCAATATCGATGATAAAAAGCGTAACAGGCAGTGCTGATATGAGCATGGCAGCCGACAAGGGGATCGCGTCTACTTCTGACATCTACGCGTCTGTGATCAGGGTCATTACTACACCTTCTTTACGCGACCAGCCGTGTCAATAGACGTACGCCTGCATGCGATGTGCCTGAAGACTGGCGACGACGATATCGGCAGCGGCGAACGCAACATTGAAGGCGGTGAGGCTGAGTTCGAAGAAGGCAGACAAGTCCGAGCGAGGGGCTGGGAGATGGTGAGGAGGGATGGGAAACAGGTAAAGGAGGAATGTGCACTTCCCGTGCAGTGGGACCCCGCATATACCCTGCTACTCGCCAACCTCGCGCACCAATTGGGCCTGAGGGACGTCCTCGCGTTCGCCCTTTACATCTGCTGCAACCAGGACGCTTCCAACATCGTGCAAGGCTTCACCCTCAGCGACGGCACCCACACACGGCTCTCAGACGACCTTGTCGCCAAGCTTATAAACGGCAAGGCCCAACTCGCCGCCTGGTCCGGCAACTATGTCTGGACGATGAACGCCGAGCCGATGGGTTCTTCCCTCTGCGTCCGAGGGCTCGCTCTCGACGGCTGCTGGGCGGACTTCGAGTTCATGCCCGAAAGCAGACTGAGCACAAACAAGGTGCATCCCATCGAAGCCGCCGACGAGTGGAGGAGACACTGTCTTGAACAGAGTCTGTGTGGGCATTGTGTACGCTGGGTCGAGGACGAACATGCGAGGATCATCGAGACTCTTCTAGTCACCGTCATTCCTGAATGCTTTTGTCTGCTGTAAGAATACATACACTGCAAGTCTTCCAACTGGTTATACTTGCGGGATGGGACTGTCCCTTGCGCCGTAGATGGTCAATATATACTCTTCGTTAGTCAGCTCATACACCCTCCAGGTAGATCCCGTCGCTCGATGGCCCTGGAAAGATGGTCAGTTACATAGACTAAGCACAGAATGCATCCGACCTACCCTTCAGTCTGCTACGCGTCTTGGACCGAGCGCTCGAGCTCGTTCATTTGCAGCGGCCCCTTCGTCCAGTGCTCATTACCAGAGATGAAATCGCTCCTGACGACCTTGCCTCTGTCCACGACCTTTCCGTCCTTCTCAACCTTCACATAAACCCCCTCCACCCGACCATCTGTGTACTGCGACTGCTGTTGCACCATGCGCTTCAGCTCATCCTCCGCAGGCATCGACCCCTCGTATAGAACCGGTACAAGCTTGATCTCCGTGTCCGCGAGCAGCGCCTCAAGGGTCTTCCTATCCGTCCAGCTCGCAGTCGCGCGATCGTACAGGTCGAACGCGAGGAACCAGTCCGGGAGGCGCGAGTACGCGACCGAGTGCGTCGCGGCGAGCCACTCGCCAAAGAGCACGTACCGCTCCGCAAAATGCGGGTCGCGGTCGAGCACGCGGTACAGGTCCGCGCGGCGCGCGTCGAGCCACGCGCCGAGCCGCCGGAACTGCGCGTGCGACGCCGGGTTGACAAAGTGCGACCGGTTCTGGGCGACGACGCGCGTGCGGTCGGCGGAGAGCGCGAAGCCCATGTTCGCGCCGTCGACCTTTTCGGTGACGACGACGTGCGCGCCGGCCGCCGCTGCTGGCGGGAGGAGGCTGCGCACGAGGTCGTCGGCCGTCGCTGCGCCGAGGTTCAGTAGATGCGGCGTGCGCGGGAACTTGAAGAGCGCGACGGGCGGCGAGAGCCGCTCGACGAGGTCGGAGGCGGCGGCGAACGAGTGCACCGTCACGAGCGCGGAGAAGCCCTCGCCGAGCGACGGCGCGACGAACATCTTCTGCATTTGCTCGATCGCGTTCCGGACCCGTCCCCCCGGCGGCAGCGTCGGGTGCCCTGCGCGGTTCTGCGCGCGATACGTACACAACTCGGCGTCGTAGTCGAACCACACACAGACGGGGTTGACTGCCCAGTGAGCGGCGAGCGCGAGCCATGCCTTGCGGTCGTCGCGGGACATGTTGCAGCGATCTAGGATGACACGGACCTTCCCCCTGGCGCTGCTTATGGCGGTCTCGCAGGCAGATCGACCGCCAGCTTCGTCCTGACTAATCCACTCCCAGCCGCCCGGGTCTCGCGCCAACAACGAGCGAGAGACCCACGACTTGCCCGACCCAGGCAGCCCAACGAAGATAAAGAGGTTGCTGGACGGCGCAAGCGTGCCTTGGATCTCCAACGGACAAGGTAGCGGCTCAGCGACGGGCTCGGGAAAAATAGACTGCCGTTTCCAAATCGTACTCGCCCATTTGTGGACAAATGCCTCTTGCTGCTCCGTTTCGATACTGGTCGGGCGTATGGCCCGCAACGTAGCGATAGCCTCGGGCGCAGACATCGCCGGCTGGGAGAGGCTGTAATCCATCGTCGGCTTGTTGAACCCAAACGCAACGAGCAAGCACGCTGCAACTGTGCCTGCGCGACCCTTCCCGCCACCACAGTGGACGAGTACTGGCAGGTTGTCGTCATCGCAGAGGAGCTTGACGATGAGGTCCATCTGCTCGATAGTCGGTGGATGGTAGTTCGGGATTGGAAGGAACGTGTTCTTGACTTTGCTGCCGGAGAACCATTTCGGATCGAGAGGGGTCTCTTCGGTGAGGGTGAGGACGTGGCGGATGCCAATGTGCGATGACCCGAGAGCTGCGATATCGGTCGCGTTCCGCGGGGTAGACATGAGCGCAATCTTGAAAGGGACCAGCCAGCGGAAGAACCGAGGTAGCCTGTACCATTGCTCTGTCGATTGGGTGGGCGCGGGGATGAAGACCTGGTCCCGTGACCAGCGGCAAAGCGTCGGGACTGCGCTCGTCAGGGAGTCGAGAGCAGAGAGTAATCCAGAGGACCAGGGCTCCAAGAGGAGCTCGAGCAGCTCTCCCGGTAGTTGTTCGAGTTCCCATTCTGCGCAGACGGTTCCCCACTCGGTCTCCTTGGCACAACTCGTGATCTTTCGAACGCAGTATTCTTGCACCTTAGCATCTGCAGTTCGATGGTATCCGCAGGCGTATGACAGCATCGCAAGCTTGAACTCCCCAAGCTTCGGCGCACTATCTCCAAGTCTCAGAAAGCCCTTCTCAGACGAGGAAAAGGATGCGCAGAGTGTCACCGAATACTTCTTGGCTAGCGAGTGGTCTCCCATAGAGTGCAGCGTGAATGATAGATGGTCCAACAACTCCGAAGGGGCACTAGATGGGAGTGGCCGCAAGAGCGATGCAATGCCTTTATCGACGCCGTGCGCATCCTGCCGAGAAAGGGTAATGTGAAAGTGTTTCGGAGGGAGTCCCAAAGTTTTGCGAAGCTGCTGTCCTTTCGCCCAGATAATTACGACGAAGTATACTTCCGGTTTGAAGCGTGGATATCCGCCGACGCCGAGTGAATATAGCTTCGGAGGCTCGTCACCGAGTGCGCCCTGCAAGTGCTGACGGATGTCTTGAGGCGAAGATGGCTGTTTCAAGGAACGAAGTTCGTCTTTGGTGATAAGGGTAACGTGGTATGGACTGTCGAGAGGAAGGAAGGAGTAGTCGAAGATGTCCGCTTCCTGCGCGAGCCTGGCGACCTCAGGGCCGACTAGAGCAAGGCAGCCGCGGAATTGTTGCAACTCCATCATAGATGTCGAGCTTGTATTCGTTTGTGTGGATGGTGCTGTAAAATGTGTTGAAAGATATAGCGTTTGGAGACCGCTACATGGAGTCATGTATACGCTTACCGATGACTGCGGTACCGGTCCCGTACGCACCATTAAGCCATCAAGAATGGCCAAAACCGCGATCCGTCACGGACAGCTCAGCTCTCGGGACGCGGGATCAGGGGTAAAGTTGGCACGACAAGTATTCGCCAGTGTCCGACCTCCAGAAAGCTGTGGCACAGCCGTCTGAGAGGAAACCTATTGGCTAAAAGTGTGCCTTTCCGAGCGGTCTCAACGCCACACGGGAGTTATTCCAGTGGGCTTTCCGATAGACTCACATGCGCAGATGCTCGCGGTGTAGGCTCCGATCTTCCGTCGTGTTTGACGGCAAGGCGCGTCACCTCCGCCCTCACCCGCCGTCTTTAGGAATTAGACGTCGCCGTGTATGTATTGATACCCAACCGAGATTGATGAAAGAGATAACCACTTTGTTTCGTCCCCAGGGGCAGCCTGAAGATGCGTAGAAGCCAACACAAGAAGAGTGTGCGTGTAAAGCGCTTAGCGCCTTCGACTCAGCCTTGGGCGCCGGGCATTCATCTGGCCTATTATGCCACACAAAAAAGGGATAACAAACTCTCGAGTGTTACAAGCGATTTGGAGCAGGACACTGGCCAAGGACTTCGGAAGCGAGGAAGAGAAAATAAACGAGATAAAGCTAGGATAGCAGAAATAGGCGCCAGGGGCGCATCAAAGCGCATCAATCCCGACGTGCTTTGAAGATTTCTACTTCGATGTCAGGGAGGAACGGCTACAGATAAGAGAAACGACGAGCAAAAATAACGTAGACGGTCCCGTGTGTGTGATAATAACGAATAAAGATTTCCAGACGCAAGGTCAGCTTGATGGAATCACGCCTCGTCGTCCGCCGCACGCGCCTTCTTCTTCACGGCCTCGCTGTTCTCCTCGAACTCGCCGTAATCTCCAGAGATGTCGTCGTTCTCGCCGTTGGCATCTTCATCATCACGACTTCGCTTCCGGCTGATGGCTGGAGGCGGGTTGGCGGCAATCCCCTCTGTTGCAGGCCCGGTAATTTCGGGTGCAGGCGTATACTCCTCATCTTCGTCCTCGTCCTCATCCGCCTCTTCTTCCACTTCTTGGCTAGGCTATGTTTGTACCACGCGTAATACCTGTGAGGATGTGGTCGACACCGAGGAATGCCTGAGACATACCGCACTGCCACCCAGCAACATCGCAGTCAGGTTTCCGTCTTTCTGGGTCTACGCGATGCCCGGGTCAGACGATATTAGTGACTTGCAGCTGCAAAGACTCACCAGACCAGCTCCGTCTTCGTCCCCCTCGTCATCCTCCTCGAATCCTCCAGTCTCTTCCTCTTCCTCTTCCTGCAATCATAGGGGTGCGACGGAGATTTGAAGACGGAGGTACGCAGATAGCAGTTCCAAGGTATCCAAGATAGATGGGGAACTTGTGAGCAAACCCGAGATAAATCTACGATCTTCCAGCCCCGTTACCTCGATGTCGTACTCATCACTCTCCTCACCTTCGTCCTCCTCCACCTGCGGCTCCTCTATGGGCTCATCTTCTTTCTTTGACATCGCGTGTACAGGTAAAACAGCAGAGCACTGGACAACCGTAGGAATCTGCTCGGGGAGAGCAGGGTTGGCAACGCAGTTATGTGAGAACACGGACGTTGGTGAAACCGTGGGTGGACAGGGATGATCGATGATGGCTCGTGCGCGGGTTGCGTCATAAGCTGCGCTTTCATGCGTCTAAGTTCAGCACCAGGGTTATCTTCAAGTCGGACAACATGGATAAGTACAAGAGAGTAATATAATGATACACCAGAAAGCTGTAGAAAAGAAGAGGTGAAAGTCGGTTAGGAGACTCATTACTTCCTTGCGAATGTAATCTGCAAAGAAATTTTAGTGAGATAAAGGTTCCATGTAAAAACGATTTGGTTTTACCTTGATCTTGTTTTCGCCATCCAGCTTGTAGTTGTGTAGCGCGTCTTTGGCAACGGTCGCGCTCGCCTCGTCCAAATATTCGACGAAGGCAATATCCTTCTTCGTCGGGATGAGACGAACTTCGTACAAGTTGGGGTATCTGCGCTGGTGTCAGCAACACAAAAGAACATGATATAGCCATACACACTGAGAGAAGAGCGCCATGAGTTGATCTTTTGTAACATTCTCCGGCAAGTTTTGCAAGAAGAGAATCTTGTTCGGTGGCAGGTATTCGTCGGGCATCATGACGTTCGGACGCCTTGATACCGGTACCGCGCTTGCGCCATCCACTGTACATCTTGTAAGCTTAAATGCAACGTATTTGTGAAAACAGCACTCACTCTCTGCCGCCAAACGCTTCTGGCGGAACTTCGCTTTAATCGGGTTGGTGTACCTCGTCGCCTCTGAGACATATGATTTAGCTTGAGGAGTGCATGTACTGATCTCTAAGAAACCATACTTTTGTGTTCCTTCCGCCTCTCAAGATGTGCGTCGAGGGTAGCTGGCTCAAGCTTCTTCACGACAGCGTCTGACCGTGTCCTTGCGTATGAGATTTGCTACTACAAGGTTAGCACGTGCACTGTACAGCAGGATACAGAGGCGTACCATGGGCTTTGAGTACAGCGGGAACCCTCGAACCTCCTTCAAAGCCTTTTTTGCAACCTCCGCGTTCTCGAAAGAGACGAACGCCTGCCCGCGCATGCGCAAGTTCGAATGTGCGACAACGTCCAGGACCTCTCCATATGACTTGAACAGACCGCGCAAGCTCGCCTTCAGCACTGGAACCTTGATTTTCTCGTTCAAATTCTGGATGTACAACGTTTCGGTCGCAGATTCCGGCTGCTGTGGCTCCTGAGATTCGGGCACAACCGCGGCCATGGGGGCGGGCGCGACGATTGGGCCTGGCGGTGGGTGTGCGGGATCTGTCTCGAGTGGTGACGCAGCCATCGCTGGTGCAGCCATTAGAGGTACCGACATGTCAGACATGGTCAAGAGGGTATATGGTGGTTTGCGCTTGTGCAAGGCTCGGAGTCAAGCGCCGGCGCGCCCGGGCGGGTCACCGCAAGGTCACGGTCATGGAGTGACGGCGCGCTCTCTTGTGCTCCTCAGAGTCCTCACGCCGCGGCGTTCGAGCCTTGGTATTTTCTAACCTGACTCGGGCCGCATAGAGCGTTGTTAACTATATCAATTCGCTTTTCGCGTAATGAACGATGTAACGCGAGTCGTTATTAGCCCCATGCGAGATGAAATGCACTATGTTACAAGTGTACAGAGATCCAGATGAGATAAAACGAGTCAAAAAAAATAGACATATACAAATAACTATCGTCGTTGCGGGTCACTAGGGGGAAGGCAAATGATCTCTCCGGGAGTCAGGCGGTCGCAGTCCAAACCTTGGTTCGCTTCTCGGAGTCGCTTCAACGAGAATCCGTGCTCTTGTGAGATGTCCCAGCATGTGTCCTCTGCTTGAACGCGGTATGCGGTCGTATCACCAGTGCAGAAGGACACCTCGGGGTGGCCGTCGTCACGTATGCGTGAGCCAACAAGACGCCAGACGAGGAGTAGGGCGACAATAATAATCATGAAGAAAGGAAAGAGGGTGCGGTATGCTTGAGAATTCATACTGCGTGCACCATGAGACGCAGCATCCTGGAGGCTGAAGTGAGCAAATATGACTGTCCTGAACGGAATTAGGTGATACGTACAACACCTGGCGCGAGGGGCTGGTAGCCGTCTGGACGTCGCCCAGCGGCCTCCAGATCTTCGTTTTCTTCTTGTACATCAACTCGCAAAACCGGCGTGCTGCCGGCTGTCATAACAATTCCATTTAGCGGCCACTATGCGGGTGTACCCGAAATAGTGTGGACGACTCACCTGGCTTCAGCCCACCGTACTGCGCACCTTCAGCACCTTCCCACAAGTTTCCGCCCCCGTCCTTGAAATAGTACTTGCCGCTGTCTGCATCATATGCTACACGTTGCATACCCTGTGGGAGGCGATACTCGTCCTAGGCACCGACCACGTCACTCAGAGAGCCCTGAAAGCGCGCGCAAAGCATACTGACCTCGTCATATTGCGTCCAACGCCCCATCTTGTTCGTTGCAGTGAATAGTCAAGAGTTTGCAGCGTCTGTCGTGAGACAGGGTATCGGGATAATGGGAGATTTTGTTCAGGCTACGTGTTATATACGCACCGCGCAGCAGGGATGTATGCTCCATAACAATCGCCCTCCGGCTAGAGACGGCATCATGGCGAAGACGCCCTCGCTTCCCTAAAACTATTCTTTCACCAAAGTCCAGAAGTACAAGACCGCTCCCGATACGACGTAATTCGAGCAAAAACAAGCAAGGCTATGCAGGTATCCATGCAAGCATCTCGGAAATTTGGAACATGAGCGGAATCAGGGCCTGGAGGCCTGGAGGATCGTGTGAGGTCCAATTGCGTATGTCGCTCCCTCGGAGTGTGCGTCCCACGCATGTCTATGACGCTGGGTATATATAACGGCGAAACCAACACTGCTATCAAGCTCCAATATCTTAGACCTCTACAGCTACTTCGTCCCCGGAGACCTCGACGTCGACCTAAAGAGACCGTCGAACAGTGCCCAGACGTCGGATTTTAGACATCACATAATGGCGGGCAAGGCGGCAGCCAACACCATACGCGTTGCCCTGAAGGGCGAGTCCGTCCTTACTCACCCCAGGTTCAACAAAGGTAAGACAAGAGCAGCTGGTACTGCTTATTGTAGGATCGCCCTCATACCTGTTCATAGGCACCGCGTTTACTCTTGCGGAACGCAAAGAGTTCGGGCTCACTGGTCGACTGCCGCACCGTGTCAACACACTCGAGGAGCAATGTCAACGCGCGTATGATCAGCTGCAATCGCGCGACACGCCCATCCGGAAGAACACTTTCTTGCAGGTGCTGTCTATCTGCTCACTGTGCCAGAGAAGGGGCTGACATCTTTGTCCGACAGAGTCTGAGGGATCAGAACTGGGTGCTCTACTACGGTCTGGTTCAGCGACACCTGAAGGAGCTAGTCCCTATCATCTACACTCCGACTCAGGGCGAAGCTATCGCGAATTACTCACATTTGTTCAGGCGCAGCGAGGGCATGTTTTTCACGTACACGAACGAGGATCGCATGGAAGAAGATTTCCTTGAGCAAACTCGCGGCCACGACATTCAGCTGTTCGTTGTTACTGATGCGGAAGCTATCTTGGGCATAGGTGATCAAGGTGTCGGGGTAAGTTTCATCTTCGCCGTATACATTATGAGTTCTCATCCTAGATAACTTAGGGCATTGGCGTAAGCAGAAACTCGAGTATTTCATGCTGCGAGTCATAATTAGGGATTGGTCTGTAGATCTCCACGGCAAAGGCGGCGCTATATACGTGAGCCATGCTGCCCACACTGTCACTGGCTTGCGCCGATCGACTTTCCTTAGACTGGTCGGCGGTATCAGCCCTCACAAGTCGCGCTCGGTTGTGCTCGATGTCGGAACTGACAACGAAGGGCTTTTGGGCGATGATCTATACGTCGTAAGTCAGATTATTCCGTATAAGTACACACATCTTGAGCTCGTCACAGGGTTGGCCGCACAAGCGTGTTCGCGGTGCGGACTATGATCGATTCGTGGATAAGTAAGACCCGTCTTATTATTCCCTCAACTTCTTCTTGACCGTGCGCGCAGGTTTGTACAGCTTGTCCGCAAGCATTTCCCGCATAGCCTGTTGCATTTTGAAGACTTCGGAGTTGGCAATGCCTGGCGCCTGCTACACAAATACCGTGGCCAGCATGCAGTATTCAACGACGATGTGTACGTGCTTTTCCGATACGCTTCGGATTGTTTCTTTAATCGATGTTTACGTAGCCAAGGAACTGGTGCAGTGGCCCTCGCAGCTATCATGTCTGCAGTTGGCGTCACCAAGTCCAAGCTTGCCGACCAACGCATCGTGATATTTGGTGCTGGTTCGGCTGGTCTTGGGATCGCGCGCCAAATTCGCGACGGTATGGTCACCATTGACCACGTCAAACATGAAGACGCTTCGAGGGCCTTCTACCTCCTCGATCGGCACGGCCTCGTCACACAATCCTTGGGTTCTAACATCGCTCCCGGACAGGAAGAGTTCGCGCGTTCCGCCGAGGAGTGGGAAGGCGCTCGGCGCGATAAGAACGGCGAGATCCAACTGCTTGAGGTCGTGAAGCAGGTTAAGCCTACGATCCTTATCGGGTGTTCGACCCAAGCTGGGGCCTTCAGTGAGGAGGTCGTCAAGGAGATGGCGAAGCATGTCGAAAGGCCGGTCATTATGCCTCTGTCGAACCCTGGAAGGCTTGCGGAGGTCGAGCCGAGGCTCGCGAATGACTGGACGCAGGGAAGGGCTCTGATGGCTACGGGCAGTCCATTCCCGCCGTGCCGTCAACCTAATGGCAAGGAATATATGCAAGTGGCTCGACTGTAGCTTATATACATCTGCTGACCATGAGCCAATTCGCAGCATTGCGGAGTGCAACAGTACGTGTTCTCTTCAGCCTACGGAGTTAGCATGTATTCATGTGTCCCCAAAGATGCACTGATCTATCCAGGCCTCGGCTTCGGCACCATGCTCACCCAATCGCGCAGCATGACGGACAGGATGATCATCGCCGGCACGCAGCGCCTTGCTGCGCTCGCCCCTGCCCTCAAGGACCCTGACCTTCCGCTCCTGCCAGACTTCCATATCGCTCCGCACGTCAACTTCGAAGTTGCCGTCGCCGTCGCCGAGCAAGCCATTGAGGATGGCAGTGCTGGTATCGACTGGAAGAAGAGTGAGGTGCGCGAGCGTGTCAAAGCTGCGCAGTGGGAGCCGGTGTACAAGAACTTTGTACAAGATCCTAAGGGGGTTAACTGAGGTCTGCAGTCTCTGGTATACGCTAGATATATTCGCCGAGTGCGATGCAAAGGATTGATGATTCGGCGCAGTCAGATGTTGTACTTATGAATAAGGTTATACATGCTTACTGTTGTGCTCTTGCCAGCGAACGTGATATCGGCACTTTTCTTCAATTCACCACGGCACATGCTTTCAGGCACGCACGGCTCTATTGCATACAAATATCGCTCTTGTGACTTGCATTCTTCGGTCGAGATGCTGGACCCGCCCCGGCGCACACGGAACGCCATCTCTAGGCTGTTCAACGTATTTGTACTCGGTTTCAAGTGCGTCGAGTCCCAACTTTCCGCCATTTCTCCCTTGGTAATCGAGGAGTGATCTCATCTTCAGGTAAGTGAGCATTCTTCATGAGAACGAAGCTCTCACCATGCTCGCAGATCACATGTCCGTGTACGACACACAAACTGGCAGCGTGCGTTCGGAAGAGGATCTCCCAGCTTACGCCGAGCTATTCGATGATTGCCATAGCCCAAACAACGAACTGGAGTCACCTATTCTTCCTCAAAGTTGTGTTGCTTCGAGTTTCACTCCCTCGAGAACTGGAGATTGCGACTATGCCTCGTCGGAATGGCCCTCGGATAGCCGTTCGTCTGCATCCACTGCGGCGGAGGCGGTGACGTTGTTCCAAGTGTCAGTTGGGAGCTTCTACGGAGAACCGTATTCTTATTGGCATCGCACGCAGGGAAGGCCAATTTTTTACCCTCGTGAAGGAGACGCCTAGTTGGAAGCGGAGAAGTGTTTGCGAAGTGAAGATCGTTCAGAGCAGCACGACAAAGGTAATTCGTATCGTCGCCGTACGCAAGGGTACAGGAACGCGCTATGCTGACCATTCTAGTACGTGCATCTCGTCTTTGTCAGGACTTGGCTGACAATTTCCCGCAGTGTCCGCCCTTAAGGCCATGCGCGTGCACAATACTTGCAGTCGCAGCCGGATCTGGAGTCTCTACACGGGCTCCTCTATAGAGCGCGACTACGAAAAAGGAGGGGTGTTTTGTCTGCGGTGCCCGACTACCGAGCGTAGGTTGTATACCGCTACAGGCCCGGCTGGCTGACGCTAGTATCTTTCACGTTTCACAGTTGCCCAGGCCTTCGAGGCTGCGTATAGAAAGACCCATGAGATGAACGCGTCGTCTGTGAGCACTCGCGTTATGCCGCGGGTGCGCGCAGGGCACGGCCACGGAGACATAAACACAATCTATTCTACGTAAGTGGGCCTATGTGCGGTCATACTTGCCTACTCACATACAGCCCAGAGAGGGGAAACTGTTTATTATCAATAAGGGCTTACGCGACTGGGCGGTGCAAGGCAGCTGCGTGGTAAAGTTTGTGCAGGATATGGAGACAAAATATGTGCGCCTTGTCGCCGAGCGCAAGAGAACGGGCAAGAGACGCGTAAACCATCATAGTAAGCTGGCTCGACGCTAAAGATTGTCAGACCGCGCTCATTGTGCTCGGCAGTGCCATTTGCCATGACCCTATGCGCGCATAAAATTTGCGAGCGCGCGATGTTATGGGGTCTTTCCTCTGACTCTCTTTACAGCCGGGATTTCGCACAAGGGCCGGTGTTTTGCCTTCGCTTCGCGAATTGTCGATCGTGGGTTTATTCCTGTGCCCTCGTGCTGAGAACGCGCTGATTCCTCGTGTCTCTAAATTAGTCGCTGTGGACTTCGAGAAAGCCTTCAAGAAAGCGCATGCGATGCACTGGGCTGCAGTGCGGAGAGTATCACAGGCATCTCCGCACCCTCATGGCGAGGCCAAAGAGGCGGACCCGACGCCGACCATATGCGATCCTACCAAATCCTGCGGTAAGACGTCGCTTCCCCCGAAGTACGACGACTATCGCGCGCCGGAGGTACCGGTTTCCTCGACGCATCCCAAGGTGGCTCCCCCGTCGTATTCTGCTCATGCTACCCAGCAGCTCAGTGGCGAAGAGCGGCCTCGTAGGATACGCGACTGGCTCAGCCGTGTTTTATCCAGGTTCTTTTGAAGGATGGATAGTATGCCGTTTCTAGCCTCTCGCTTTTACTCCTCTCTGTGCCTCAATGCAGCCATTTGGTCGTACGTTGGATGTCAACATATGATCTACACTTAAATATAGTACTACCACCTTATAAGCGGTCTTCCATTCTGACTATTGACTGCAAGCCACACGAGGCTGTGAATAGCACTGCCTGCAAAATATTAGCGGCGTGGTGCGCCTTCCAGCGCATTTCAGCCCAGCGTCCGCGTGTATATGCTTGCACAGCATCAGGCACTGGGCTATTCGGAGCCATCACAGTCCAGGCACCAATGAACTTAATTTTGTCCTCATCTGACTCTTCCAGCAGGTGCCCAAAGATGGATTTTCGAATTGAGCAGCAATACTCCCCACCAGGCACGGCGCTGCATTCGCCAGGACGTAGTCGTCTGCCAGAATAACAAGTAACTTCTTCACATCCGTCACGGTATAGTAAGTATTGAGTGCGCCGTTCCTAGTCCCTACCCGACTCAATCGAGCTCTCAGGCCTCAGGGTTAACCGGCGCGATAGTCGCGTCTAACACGTCCTCCCATCCACATGCATCACTCCCCTAAAGTCGCCAAAGGCGGTCTTCCGCCCCCGGTTGTCGATGGTCACAGAGGTACCAGGGGGAGAGCTAACATGGGTGACGACGGTGCTTTAAGCATCCGCAAGGTTTTCGTCATCTCGCTTACCCTCGGGCTATGGCTTGCTGCGGCGTTCCTCTACCGGCAGAACATGCCTCTGATGCTTGACTCGCTCTGGGTCAGATTCCTCGTTATGTTTTGTTCTTTTCCTGTTTTCGTGTTCTCGATTCCGATCTTTTGGTCGGGGTTCGTAGCAGCATGGGCTATGTGGAAGAAGCGCAGGCACGCGCATTGCGAACGCAGTGATATTAACTTCCGGGTAGACCACGATGCTTGTTTGTTCACTGCTTATAGCAATTGTGTCCTGTAGAGCACTGTGAATTCATGGACAAGATCAAGCAAGTGTATATAAGATGAACGTAGGTGTGACTGCACACACCAAATTACAAACCATAGTACAGTACAAACAAAGGGGGACGTAGAGAGGTACAGACAGGGCTAACAGAACAAAATGAGCAAGCGTGGATCAGGTGGTGACTGAAACTTGTGATCAGGAAACGAGGGAGCCTTTGATGCCATCCCCGCGTCGAGAAGCCGCGATACCGCGCAGCATGATGACCGCGAGGGCAAATGTGGTTAATACGCTGATCAAGAAGTAAGCACACGGAGATGAACGGTACTATTTGTAGAGTTCACATACAGTTCAATCCAGGCGAATGCTTCCAGCGAGTTGCGCTGACCACAGTACGTATAAAAGTGGTGGCTGGAAGGGTCTGAGTCATGGAGCGTGAGAATAGAGATAGGGAGCCCGTACCCGCAGTTGAGGCCTCCATTAAGCGAGGCGGTAATCGCAGCAGCGCCAGAAAGCCAGAATACCCAGGTTATGAACATGCTGAGGATAGGACCGCCTTAAGCATCGGCGGCAGCGGGCGGAAGCAAATGGGGGCTTACAAGATTGCATGACTGCCGACACTGGTGAGGAAGGAGCCGCCCGGGGACTGGAAGAACAGTAAAGCGTAAAGCGCTGAGAAGACTATTGTCCAAGTAGAGGTGAATAGGAGGAAGCGAGTGCGGTCGCGTTCGCCTAAGCTCTGGAAGTTATGGTGCGCGTTGTAGCGCGAGACGAGCCACGCCGAAATGGACAGCTGATTACAATAGATCTTGAATTTGGAGCAAAGTGACCAGAGATCAAATAACGCACCTCAATGATAGCAAAGAGGACAATGAGACCCAGCAAAACTTGAGCAGCGTCAGAGACTGGACCAGGACGACTGAGACATTGGGCTTACTGGGGTGACCACGGCGAACCTTAGGATCCCAGCTAACCATTTTGACGAATATTCGAGGGCAGCAGCGGAGGGGTCGTGGGCGTTGTCGTGAGAGGTCGTAATTGTGGAGTTTGGGCGAGTTGACGGACTGAAATACCAACAAAGGCTATCCGACAAAGTCCGCTAGCCGCGTGACGTCAGCGCCGAACCGAAACGCGGGATGGTGGAACACGTTCTGATCCGCCACCTCCGGCCGACATTCCCACGGGAGCGCCACAACGCTCGACGCAGAATTGGCGCCCGTACTTCTCTCGCTGTCGCAGTCGCCTCGACCTCCACGTCGCGCGCATCGTCGCGCCCGCTCTCGGTATCCATCTTTTTTCTGCATCTTTTTCCTTTCTATCTCGTCCATTTTGCGCATCTATCTTCCTGGCGCTCTCCTTGGCGCACTGTCCCCATGTCTCTAAATTCGTCCGCTTTGTACATCCCTGTAGTTACACCACCGACGCCTGCACCGTCTCCAGGTCCAGGATTACCCCCACAACACTCGTTCAATTCTCTATACAGGCAAGACTTTTCTATTCTTTCTCCTTACCAGCGACGACAGTTCCTATCGGCCATTCTGAGCGAGTGCACACCTGACGAACTACTCTTTGTGTCAACAACCGTCGCGCCTCTCCTGAAGAGGGATTTTCTACAAGATCTGCCTCCAGAACTTGCGATTCACATCCTTGGCTTCATCGATGACCCTCGTTCCCTTCTCAAGGCGGGCCAAGTCAGTCGGTATTGGCATAGTCTCGTCTTAGAGGAATACCTGTGGAAACACATGTGCGAGGTGTACAACTTCGGCATCGAGGAAGACTGGGAGCTTTCCGATCCCTCGAGAAATTACGTGCAACCTCTAAGCCCTATATCTCCTTCACCGAACCACGAGCCACGGCCATCACTATCACCTGTCCACAAGATCTCGTACCGCAATCACTACAAGCTTTCCTACGTGACATGTACGTATCTTTGACCTCGCTTCTGCACCTACCCTGATGCCTATCTAGTAACGAAATGGCGCACTGGCGGCACCCTGCTACGTCGCATTCCCCTCACATCACACCACCACCTCCCGAACGATGCAATGCAACCACCCGTGGCGAATCCATCGTCTGCCGTACCAACTTCGATTGCGCTCGATGTCGACTGGCTCGTTATCGGCCTCGCAAATAGTCGAATTCACATCTTCAGTGCGCGCACTGGCGTGAGCTGCCGCACCCTCGTTGGTCACAGCGCTGGCGTGTGGGCGGTCGCGCTCGTCAGGGCTGGCGGCGAGCGCATAGATCCACCCATCGATGAGCGTATGCGTGACATGAAGATCAACAGGATAGGTTCGGGCAACCGGAGGATCAGAACGGAGGAAGGCATCTCGGCGAGCTCGACGCTATCGTTTGCAATGCGCGCCGCCCTGGGGCTGGATCGGATGCCATCGGAAGGGCCGAAGCTCTCGAACAAGACTTCACATGAGTCGTGGCCACATGGACGGCCAAGTGAACCATCAGGAACCTCTGAGGGCTGGGGACAACCAAACGCGTTAGTGGTCAGCGGAGGCTGTGATAAGGATCTGAGGGTATGGGACGTTGTTTCTGGGTGCGCTGCATAATGGTTCATTCTCCTGCTTCATCTAACTTGCCACATAGATTCTGCATATACGCGCTCAAAGGCCACACTTCAACGATTCGCTGTCTGAAGGTCCTGCACGGCCGCCCAATAGCTGTAACAGGCTCGCGCGACCGCACTCTACGTGTATGGGACATCCAGCATGGTAAATGCCTACGTGTGCTTGAGGGGCACGAAGACAGTGTTCGAAGCATCGACGTATGTGGGAACAAAGTTGCGAGCGGCAGCTATGATTTCACCTGCCGCCTGTGGAACATTGACACAGGCGAGTGTCTGCATATCATGCGGGGACATCACCATCAGATCTACTCTGTCGCATTCGATGGCGTACGGATCGCCAGTGGAGGCATGGACACGACGGTGCGAGTGTGGGATGCCGAAACTGGGTACGTTCCGCTACATTGGCGCTTTCGCACATCTGGCTGATAGGACATCTCATAGGACATGTGCCGCACTCCTCCAAGGCCACACTGCCCTCGTCTGCCAAGTGCAGCTCCACAACAACATACTCGTCACCGGCGGCTCCGACGGGCGCGTCATCATCTTCTCCATCGTCCCGGGCACCTGTACCTCCAGCCCGTCCTCGCCCCCGCAGCTCACCGTACAGGACTCGATCTCCTCGCAGTTCTCACGCTCGTTCTCTATGCCGTCGCTGCTGGCGCCCCAGCCGCCGAGCCCGCCGAGGACCGCGGCCGCGGCGAAGCCGTTCAGCATCGTGCAGCGCCTCGCGGCGCACGACAGCAGCGTGACCGGGCTCCAGTTCGACTCGCGCTTCCTCGTAACGGGTGGGAACGACGGGCGGGTGCGCCTCTTCGAGTTCCACAAGGACGCCTCCGCGGGCGCAGAGGGTGGAGCGGGCGGGCTCGGTGGCAAGTTCGAGTATGTGCGCGAGATGAGCGACGCGTGCGAGAGCGTGTGGAAGGTCGCGTATACGGAGCACACCTGCGCGATCATGTGCAAGCGTGCGGGCAAGACGCAGGTCGAGATATGGAGCTTCAGGCCGAACGGCGCCGAGGCGAAGGACTGAGCATCATCGCGTCGAGAGGTTAGTTTTATGGACTTCCGGACTGTGTCTTTCGGTTTGTGGATTGTCGCTTCGGCTTTAGCTGTCCCTGGACTCGCTCATGCTCTATCACTCATTTCTGGTCTGCTTCTGTAGCAATAATACTTAATAATGTAATGGCGTCGTGCACTCTCCGTTGTGGACCTTATACTCAGCCCCATCGAAAGATCTTGCTACGTAACATGGGCCGGTCCCAGCTAGTATACAAACTCGAGGTAATGATACAGACAACGCATGCAATGACAGAAGGCAAACTCTACTCACAGAAAAAACCTGAAGGTCGTCCCCAATGAGATATCTGGTCTCTTGGTGAGTCAGTAGGTAAATGT